TAATAATTTATTATTGCCGTTTATGAACGTTTATTCATAAAGATTTTGTAGATATTTCCCTTAATATAGGCTACCAATTTGCTGAAAGGATACACAATTAAAATACTATAAATTATTGTTCAATATGCCTCTCTCTCTCTTTTTTCTTTTTTTTTTTTTTTAAAGTATTTTTAGTTTTAAGTGTTTTTATAACAAAATGCGAGGAATGAAGTATTTGGGTTTATTTATTTTATATTTTTGGATTAATGTATTTTTATATTAATTATGGAATTTTGTATTGACAATATAAAAAATAAGAATTTATATTGATTTATTTTTTTTAAACGGATGAAATATATATTATATATATTGTATTAATATGTGTAAATTAAATTTTTTTAATACTCCCTTCGTGTGTCTGCTACACTGTAGACACGGTATTTTAGGAGGGGTGTAATTAGTAGATAATTAAGAATGTATTAGTGAAAATAATTATCCTATAATATAAATAATTATAAATTAAGATTAACATAACTAATTAGTTTAATTAAAATTAAAAAAAATAAAACTAAAAAATTTAAAATGAGATTAAAGTGTGTAACCATTTTCCAAAGAGTGATATGGTATGTGGGACGGATAGAAACGGCAACGTGGACATGGTATCTGGGACAGAGGGAGTAATATTTACGACAAAAACGTATCATGTGTGTACATACATATTGTATCTTTAGATGAAAAACGAATTAAAGTATATATACATTTATATGAGGCATCTAAAAATTAAAGTATATTTAGTGTTTTTCATCCTTGCATTAAAGTAGCATCTAATATCATATGTATTTTACTTGGTTAAATATAAGATAATAACAATTTTTAGTACAAATATTACTTGAGATAAATTAATATCACCCATCAAGTAGGATTAATTTGTCCCTAATTAGTGTATTATTATATGAGGTTTTAATTCATTCGGGGTTTTAATATGTTAAAGTAAATAAGTGGTTATATTGAATAAAATAATATTATCGACCATAATTATTCAAAGTAAACACGTTCTAAAGGTAGAGAAAATTAGTAGTTTAAATCTTAGTGAAATTGGATTCAATTCAATGTTTCATGAAGACAGGGTGAATCAAAGTCAAAACAAAAACTATTTGTTTTGGCATATGAGACAAGATGTAAAATTGCTATTAGAGCCTGCAATCGAGATCAAAGAGAAAAGTCCGCACAAAATGTGGCAATTTAAGGTGAAGCCATTTTGCTTGGCTTAAGTTCGATCATAACCAGATGAAAATGGATAAGACATGGTTTGTTGTGAAGCCTAAGTTCGAGCTAGACATGGTTTGTTTGTCACTTCGATGAGTTGTATGGAGTCTTATTTTATATACTTGATTTATTCTCTATAACTTGTACTTTGAAATTATTATTGCAAAATTTAGTTTGGCCACCTTCAGACATATATCATCATAATCGAATTTGGTCATCAAATTCTTGTGTTCTTGTATACTTTTTTTTATTTTTCTGATTTATGCAACATATGATCATTTCACTATTATCATACATGCACATTAATGTATTATTGCCGATTTGAAAGTTAAATATCTATTCAGATACGCTCATTATTGCATGAATTATAGAAAAATGTACAATTAGATCTTCAATTTGATAAAAAAGGATACGAAATCTAAATTCGGCAAATTTTTATGTATTATAAATTTCATCGCCCCACACATTATAAATAGAGAAAACCATTGTGTATTATACATATGTGTTTACTTATATCTTTAGTTGGTTTTTTTATGATTGAGTTATTTTAGATTTTGAAATCATTTAGATACGAAGGTGAGGGTAAGTTTTGATGTGATATTTTAAATTAATGTAAGTGTTGACTGTTATATTTTGAGAGAAAATAGTGGAAAAAAAAATGCTTAGTAAATCGAATATTAGTAAACAAAAAGGACAAATAAATATTTTTTTAAATGTAAATAATTTTCAACATGCATACATTAACCTTTTTTCTTAAAAATTGAAATAAAATAGAGGTTCATGCATTATTAATTCTCACAATCATGTATGTTCATACTATTGTCATCATCATCGGCTAAACAATTACCAACCACCATGATAGTCTTTGTCGTTGCCATTACCGCCACCATCTCCACTCAGCCTCGACCATTGATTATACGGCATCATTGTGCTCAGCCCCACTTAATATGGATAATCCAATAGGCATTTCACATTCTTCCCAAGGTAAGTCATGGATCCATGCCAAGTCTCGATTATATCTCTTCTAATCATCTCTATTGATGTTTTCTATAGGAGGAGAAACTTTTGGGCAATAGAGTTGATACTCGGATGTCCAAACAATTGAGCTTTGTCTTTGGATGAGAACTCTCCGACGCCGCTATCCACTGCTGTTAGAGTGCAAAGCTTGCTTGCTTTCTTAAAAGCTTTATTTGGTACGTTGAGAAAGACACTTGAAGGTTTCTCTTCTTCTATATCTTTTTTCTTAAGGATCTTGCGACAACCGGATTTTTTAACACTATGACGATTTGGCTTGATCTCCAGAAGTGCTCATAGTGTCGAAACAGAAGCTAAAGAAAAAAGATAAGTTTGTAAGAATATATACAAGAAGATAACAAATAAAAAAAAAAAAAAAAGTGCATTGGTAATACTTGTGTATGTTTATTCATGCATCGATATCTTAATTTTTATACTAGCTTAGACTGTCGTGATTAATATTTTTATTAATAGAAAAAGTGAATTGATGTCCTTATTCTACCTTCATTCATATGACCAAATTTGCATAAATCAAAAGTAGAAAGGGGACATCAGTTTACTTTTCCTATAATATATATATATATATATATATAGTCATGAATGTCTAAACTAATATAAATATTTGAAAATCCATTCAAAATAAACATAAAAATATTACCATGCATTATTTTATTTTTTGTTATTTTCTTCATTAAATTCTTGCAAACCTATCTGTTTTTTTTTCTTCTATTTCATCTTCGACACTATGACCACTTCTAGAGATCAAGCTATATATTCATGGAGGTAAAAGCCTAACCGTCGCAAGATTCCTATAAAAAAGATATAGAAAAAGAGTAATCTTCAAGTGAATTCTCAAAGCCCGATCGATCAAGGCTTCTTAAGAAAGCAAGCAAGTTTTGCACCCTGACAGAAGTGAAGGCCGGCATTGTAGTGTTCTTACAAGAGACAAAATCCATTCATTCAGACATCCAAATATATATCAACTCCATTGCCAACAAGTTTCTTCTCACCTAGAGAACATCAAGGGGAACTAGCGGAGAAAGGGTCGAGATTTGGCCCGGATCCATTACTAACTTTGGGATGGATCAGTACCCAATATGGGCGTGGATTATCCATGTGGAGCGGGATTTAACACGATGGCGTCATATGATTAATGGTCGAGGTTAAGTGGTAATGGTGGATGTAATAACACCGGCATAGACTATCAAGGTGGTCGGTAATTGGTTAGGCAGTGGTGATGGCAATAGTGTGATTATGCATGATTGTGAGATTTGATAATTAATGAAAGTTCATTTTATTTCAATTTAAGAATATGTATGCATGCTAAAAATTGTTTAAATATTATTTTGAAAAAATTGTGTTGATTTGTAATTTTATGTTGTTTTCGTTTTATAATTATCTTTTTTTTTTCTTAAAACATATAATAAAAATTATTGTTTGAACTAATTTTCTCTTACGTGCACATGTTAAAGAAAGAAAAAATAAATAAATAAATAAACTTGAAATGGTCCTCATAAATCAATTTCCCTCGTAATCCATTTCAAACTATTGAGGTAAAGTATTATTTTGGCTTAGAAAAATATGAAAGTAGAGATACATTGTGTTTGTCTGGGAATTTGGATTTTGAATTGGAATTTGAACCGTAAAAATTTTGAATTTAAATAGTTGTATGATGTGATATAAATAGATGTAAGTGTAGAGGTGATGTTTTAAATGTAAAATAGATTTTTAATATAATATAAAAAATAAAAAATAGGTGTTTGATTTGATTTTTTGGGTAAAAAAATGAAATGAATAGTAAATTTAAAATTCAATTCCCCAAACAAGCACACCCATAGATGTTTATAATATTCAATCTACCGAGTATTTCAATTTTTCGACCACTATTTCCTCTCCAAAAAATATATAAATTACAACATTCAATATATATAATACTCATTCAAAACATTACATCACATCACATTGTATCTTCTTTGTTATCTCAAAGTTTTCAAGACTCACAAGATCCAAGGCATATAGAAATGGAATCAAAAGCAATAACCATACAAAGTTTCCGAAACCAAGATATATGTAAGGAAGGCGAGGAGAATTATGGAGTTGAAGCTGCGATTGATTTGGACATATTTCAAGACATCATCACATCCAACTGAATCAAAAATTACATCACTACGGTGGACATCGCTTGATTCCGGGCAAGCGTAACAATTTTAGCTTTGAACACCGAACAATTCGAACAAGGCTTTACATATTAACTATTTGATATTGCAAGCATTCTTGATTCTTAGAAAGACAAGAAAGTGATTCCTACTTCGTGTGCAAATTATGTCGCCAAAGTTAATATATATATATATATATATATACACATGTAGACACATTTGTGTGTACATTGTAGATCTTTGTACAAAAATATGTTTGTTAATGATTAAATCTTTATAGGAAAACAAAGAAATGTATTTATCTATATATCATATATATAGATAGATAGCAATGACCAGAAGTTTGAGTCAAAACTTTGACAGCATGGATAACAAATGAATAATAGTATTTAATTGAAAATTGGTATAAAATAGAACGTAAAAAACTAAATTACCTTTATTTTTATTTTTTTGAAGAGTTTTAAAAAATAAATTACTGTAATAACTAGGGATAGTTATAAAAGAATAGAAACAATTTTATTGTAAAGTGAGATCTCGATTATTAAATAAAAAAATATGACAATTGTTGGGAGACGAAAAAAATATTATAATAACCTCATAATTGATTTCGAAATCATTTTTGAGGTGTCTCATTCTTTTCTCTAATGCATAGTAATAAATGTACTCAGCACACGTTAATGTTTTATATAGTCCAATAAATTTCTCAAATACTACAACAGATTTATTATTATTATTATTATTATTATTATTATTTGTTAAATAGCACTATTATAAGCCAAACTCAATGCAGCATTAACTCACACCTTAAATAATCAAATTACAATATTGACCGTAAAATCATATGTTCAAACCTGATGCTTTCGTATTTATCTGCCATATATGATTTCCCCAGTGTGATTTGTCTTGTCAAATTCGGCCGGAGGTTTACCCGATGCGTATTTTCAACAACAGCTGCGGATTTTCCATGTTATAAATAAAAAAAATAAGAAAAAGGAGAATTTACAATACTAAGAAAGGAGTATATAAGTAAAAATCTCACCTGTTATATTCAATACAGTTAACCAGGAAAAAAGAAAAAGACATAAAGAGAAGCCTAGGAAGATGATGTTCCAACATATCATATGAATGTACCAATTTAATACATAAATCCAAACAAATTTGTTAAGGTAGGAGGAAGTAAGAGTACAAGAATGTGATATGAGCAACAAAGTTAAAGAGATTCGAAGAGCAGAACAAACCTCAAGTTGGAATAGGGATGCAACAATCCTCCTCATTACCAATAGCCAACAAACACATCATCGTCGCGGCAAGAAATGCGACGCAAAGACAACCAGCAATGCTGCCTCTGCTGCTGCAATAACCATAGTTGTCTTCACCTTTCTTTCGAAATTCCACTTCTGGAGCTGCCTCTTTCGACATCACCAAGCCTCTGCCATTTTCTTCTGTCGAAGAAACTGACTCCGGCTTCTCGTGGAAGTGCTCGCCATTCTGACAATCGACATCTTCAGAAAAGGCAATCTGTTCATGCCCTGATGCAGGAGGCGTCCACGCGAATTTCCTAATATTTTTATGTCCATTGCAGCAGGCCGAGTTGGAGTTTTCTTGATCCTGAAGTGAGTGGATGAGCTTCCTTGGGGTAGTGAAGATCTTCACGTCGTCAATGTTAGAACGAGCATTCGATCGCTGTATCATAAACACAAGGTAAAAATTAAAATGAATCTTGTTCTAAAGTTCGACTGATTAAAAAATGATGCATATTTACCTGAGGGCTCGGGGTGCGGCTTCTTACACTTCCACTTTCTGCGTCTCCTTGAAGAAAGCCGGTGAAATTTAGGCAGTCGTTCTCATCGAATCCGGCGTTTAAATCATCACTCCCTCGAGTTATATCTGAGAAAATGCCGTCTTTTAAAGAGATATCAAGAATTCCATTTTCAAACTTTCGCCAAAGTCTTCGGTTGACGCTGCGTTGGTAACTCAATCCGTGCTGGCCTTGACATATCGAATTGGGTGATTCGATGCCATAATTATATCCGACAGAAGATGCAACAGTATGCGACTCGGGCGATGTAGTGAAAATCGGAGATTGGTCACCAGAATTAACCATCCTCCTTACTGTTTTCGCGCCATTTTCAGCACATAATTTCTTTGCAAGCTGCAGTGTTTCGAAGGCTGCTCGAGCTACAAATGGCATTCGATCCGACTGGCACTTTTCCATTTCCTTCATTACCAGCTCGAGTTCAGACGATATACTTTTCAGGTCCAAACATCTCATCAGAGAATTGAGCATGTGTATTGCCGACAACTGTTTTTGAGAATTTACTTCAGAATAACCATCATCGAGAATCTGCAGTCCGGACCTTACCAACAGTCTAGCATAGGCTTCGACAATGAGAGAATTGTGTTTAGCCAAGGCAGAAACTAAGGACATTTGCGAATTCGTCTGCGAATGTTTCTCCAAAGCCCCTGCGACTCTCTGACAAACCTCATTCACCATTTCACTCGAAGAAAATCGCCAATTATCGGATTCAACAAGCGCCTGTAAGCACAGAGCAGCGCCAGAGGATGTATTGTCTTGGCTAGCCAAAAGACAGTCGGAAAGGGGTTTGCATAGAGAGTGGATTATGTATCTCTTCTTATCCTCTGCTGTTGTCGGATCAATCGCATACCTAGCTATAGCTGGAACAACCTTTGAGCAAGCTTGATGAAGCGCAAAAGCTCCGGAACTCAAGGACAAGGTCTTCACGATTGTGCTCATTATGTTGTCAATCTCGGGGACAATTTTTGATCCGTGCACTCGAGCAAGAACCTCATATAGTGATATTGTGTGCTCACCAGATGATGTGCTACATTGTTTTGTCTCCGAAACCTGAGCAAGAAAGAGAGGTATTGCCTTCGAATCCAAATCTTTCACATACGACTTCAAAGCTCTCATTGCTGACTTGCTACTTGCAGCATCTTTATCGAGGTTTTCCAATTCTTGACGAAGCTGCGGGCTTAGACCCCTTCCCATTCTCGGGCTTGGACTTCTACCCATCGTACTATTATCTGAAACATTAAAAGATGAGTGTACATTAAGAAACAGTCAACGAATCATTTTATCTGTTAACTTCTTCTTCATCACACATAGAAGCAATTTCATTTCAATTGTCGATTAAAGCAGAAAACAAAACTTTAGGAATCTGTTCCATATCATTTGAAATCATGAGCAAACTATAGATTTCAATTATTGTCCAGATTCAATATAAATAGAGAATGATCAATCAACAAAGTCCCACTTTACTAATGACAATAAACTAAATAAGAGAGGAGATAAGAGGGTGCTCAAGCTCAACTTTCAGAGTGAATAGGCATATACAAATATACATACAAGAATTTTACTAACTACCGAGCATTGAAATATGCTGTTTCAGTGCACCTAGGTTCGGGTTTGAGCAATCATGTAGTTTCAAGAATATCTTGAGCTACCATAACCTGATACAAAACTTTCAGATACCAATATGTGGGGTGATTTTGTTTATCTTTTACACACTAATTTTGTTTCCTACGGAATTTATGCTGAGAAAAGGCCTGACCAAATATCACAAGACGGTGAACTTACACTGTTTCTTCAGCTTCTTGATCAAAAATCGTAAGGACTACACAAAGAAATGATTAATTATAAGAAACTTCAATGTCCACTAAGATTCAGTTTTTCCACAGCATCAATTCAACTACGGAAATCAAATCATACAAAGTCAAAATATGCAATGGATCTAAAAATAATAATCAATTGTTTCCGAGATTCCATTTCTTCCCTTCAAAAAAAAAAAAAAAAAACAAAAGTCATTCCAACAACCAATTAAAATTCACAAGGTCAATTTCTTCGCACTACCGTATCATATGAACTAAAGAAATTAATAAAATTTAAAAAAAAAAAAAAAGGACCTGAAATAAAATCAACGAGAAAGATTTCTACCGGACAATCGAAGGACGAGTGATTAGCTTCCACTGCCCACCAGTTCACCCGAAGAAATGAGCTATGATCGAATCTGCGGAGAGGGGACCGGAGAGAAACGCGGCCGTTGGCGGCGGAGCAGATGAGAGGGTTTTGAATGCGAGATTTGTGTGGGATGGGCGGTTTTTATTTCATCGAAGTTATTTGTATTTTGAAACTTTTTACAATTCCCCCGCCCGCTGTCCCTCTCTCTCTACCTTTGATTTAAATTACAATTTCTCCATCATCTTACTAATTACACTTGCCCATTTGGTTCGGAACCGAGCCATTCGGTTCAGAACCGCCGGTTTTCGAACCGGTGAATACGGTTCAAATCGAAACCAAATTTAAACCGTCGGAATTTGTGATTTTCTCATACCGGTTCAAACCACCGGAGGACGAAGGAAGGAATAAAGGAAAAAAAATTGAAGATGAAAAAGAAAGAAGAAAACGGGTCGGGCGGGCTGCGGCAGCTGTGGATCAGTGGTGGATGCGTAACTGTATAGATTAGGGCAACTGTATTTCATAATAATAATAATAATAATAATGGTATGTCTATAATTAATTTTTTTTTGTATATATCATTAAAATTTTATAAAATAAAATCATATAATATTTTAATAAAATTAAATAATTATTAATGATATAAAAATAATAATAATATAATATTATTTTTTATATTTATATTTTATAATTTTTTATTATATATTTAATTTAAATTATCTTATTATTTCATACACTAATATTTATATTATTTTGTTTTTATTTATTTTTTTAAAATTTAATTTTATTATTTACTAAATTTATTATTTTAATTATTTTTTATATTATAATAATTTAATGAATTACTATTATTTATATGAATTTATACAATAAATAAATAATTATTATATATATCTAAATAAAATTAAAATCGAAATTAATTGGTTTTAAATAAAATTTAAATTTAAAAAAAAATTAAAAAGAAATATTAAAATAAATATATATAAATCAACCGTTCAAATCGTAATCTGTTATTTATAAATCGAAATCGTCATTCAAAAGTTTGACATTTTAACCAATTGTAACCGACGGTTGAACCGTTGGAGCAAATCTATCAATATCTATATGTATATATATATAATGATCTAATGCCTATATATTACTAATAGATTTATAGTAATTTAGGTGTGTTTAATTTGTCAAATTTATCTGAAGTTTACTATTTGAATTGTAGGTTTCTAAAAGAATATTTACAAGTATTATTTTAATACTAAATTTAAACTATTTTTTCTCAAATTCATTTAAAAAAATTACTTTATATGATTTAGTTAATTTGTATTTGAGTTTAATTTTTATTTTAATTTAAAATTATTTCTAAAGATGTTTTGAATTATATATAGATATTGCATGCATAGTTCATCCAAAATAGGCTATTTTTTGTCCAATGATTTTAAGGTATCTTCAATCCAAAAATTCTATTTATGCAGTTTTAACTTTAATAATGTAGTATTTTTACTCCAATTTTTAACTCTATTTTTTACTCCAAAAAAATATTCTTCAATATTTCATTTTATATATTATTTTAAACCACTTTTTATATTTATAGTTAATATAATTTTTTAAAAAAGTTTTAAAAGAATAAAAGAATTAATATAAAAATAAATTTTTTAAAAAAAAAAAAAAACACATACAACATGATTTTACGGTGTTTCACTGTAGCAAACATCATTGATGTCACCATTGGTGCATGGTTGGAGAGATGGGGCTGCAGCTCAAAAAATGCAGGTCAAAAAATGCAGCCCCGTTGGAGATGTCCTAAGAGATGTTATGTTTTTTGTTGATATACAACAAAATGTACAGATAATATAAAAATAATAAATGTAGGTTTGTTTCGGAGTTTGAATTTTAAATTGATATTTGAATAGTAAAAATTTTGAATTTAAATAGTTATATAATGTCATATAAATATGTGTTGATGTGATGTTTTAAATATAAAATTAATTTTTAGTATAATATAAAAATTAAAAAATAAATGTTTGATTTGATATTTTTTAGAAAAAAAATAGAATAAATAATGTTTGTTTACTTTTTCCATAATTACAAACAATATAGAATCTAAGTTAACGTAATACATATATAACACATCATTCATTCAAATTCTAGGTCGTGTCTGCCACACACAATACTTTCCCGATTTGAGATAAGAAAACGTTTTATCTACAGAGCACATCAACGAAGGTTACTTCAACAGTATGAACATTCCATAGCTTACATGAAATAGAAAGAAGAACAAGAACAATAGAACAGAGTAAAAATTTTCCGGATTTTTTTTCGATTCGCCGAATACTGCAATAGTGTAATAAGGATCACAAATTGTCATGCTGTATGATCTGTGCCCCTCTCCACTCTTCACCAGGCTTTAGTGGAAGAGGAACCAACATCGACGCCGGCCCTGTACACGCAAAGTATTCCTTACCATACTTGTCGAAACAAGAACCAGGGCTCGACACATAAAATTCCTCAAAACCCATTCTTATCACCCGAAAGAAAAGCTCGCGCCCCTGCAAATTACGACGACAAACAACTCCAAATATCATTCTCTGCATTGCATAGATGAATCAATCTACAAGAAAGAATAACACACATATAAATCAATCAATGATCAAGAACCTGATCGATCACTTCATATTTCGACGGGATGGTGTTATAAAAGGGTCGAGATCTTTCTGCGGGCGGGGCAGCATACAGTCTGCTCATTTTATGCCTCAGCACTGTTATGGGGGCCTGCTGCACAGTCCACACGCCTGGTTTCTTCTCAGGCTCCCATCCCAAATTGAAGAAGCCTGAAGGAGCTTCGGCCATGGCGGCCTCGGCAGGGGAGAGTATCTGAAAGGGTGAGGACAGGGGAATGTGCGTGCAGTAGGAGGTGCCCCGGAATCCCTCGATTCCGCTACCTTTTCGGCCCTTAAATCTGAAATGGGTAAGTATGGCGCAGTTCAGATTTAGGGCTTTTTCTCCTGTGTTCTTCATTATCACTGCTGCTGTTGTGCTCACAGGGTACAGCGACACCACGTACGCCATTTCCAGATTCCCCATCGTGCAGCTCAATTCGACCTGCGGTAACCCTAATTAGTTATCTAATTTGAAAGAAATCGGGCAATTGAGCACAAATCTATATGCCCTAACCCTAATTAGTTAGTTAAGTCGATTCGAACGAAATTGGGGGATTAATCAATCGTTCCTGAGCAATTAGGTCAAATTTGCACAAATCTATATGCCCTAACCGTAATTAGTTAGTTAATTCGATTTGAACGAAATTGGGGATTATTCTATCGTTCCTGGGCGATTTAGGTCAAATTTGCAGAAATATGTATGAGTATATGTGAGATATTGATTACCGCCATGGATGTTACCTGGAGAGCATCGATTGAGTCGGAGTCGACGTCTTTGACAGTCCATTGAGGAGGAGAGCGGCGGTTGGAAGAATCGTCGGAATCATTGACGACGAAGGCGATGCCGCCTCGAGAAGGTTGTGATTCGGAGGGTGGGATTGTGTAGAGGACCTCCTCGAAGCCGTCGTCCTTCCAGTAGACTTTGGGTTTGTAGGAAGAGACGTGGGCGGTGGGTATGTGGAGCTTGAGGGAGCTGCCATTCCGGACGGTGAGCTCCACTGTTGAGTCTGAGAAGTTGATGCCTTTCCGGCCGAATTTCTGGAGAAGAGCGTCGGAGGAGGTGGTGGTGGTGGCGGTGGTGGATGGCAATGAAGAAGATGATGATGCAGTGGCGGCGACATTTCGAGGTGAGAAGAAGGATAGAAGAACTGCTGCCATATCATATCATATAATGATAGAATAGACTTCAGAGGAGGGAAGCAAATCAAATGCACATTATGCCTCTCTATCTCTATCTCATGGCTTCAACGTATCCTCATTTTATACTCCTATCTGTTCCACCCATGATGACATTCTGTACCGCACTGAAAATACAAATCGATATCGACACTGTATCAAATTTTTCGGTACGACGAAAATAAATATCGGTACTTTATCGAAAGTTTCAATATATCAAAATTTTCGGTATATCGAAATTTTTGGTACAGTACTGGTATATACCGTTTATATAAAAAATTTCAATTTTGGTATAATACATATATATATATACCACTTATACTGAAAATTTTGATTTCGATTATACTGAAAATATAATTTTAAATTTCAAAATTATTAAAAAAAATTAAATAAATATCACTATTCTCCGCCACAAGAATATTATGAAAAAATCAATAAATTTTCAATAGTTTACATATTTTTTTATGATTTAAAAAATATTAATAAATATTATTGATATTAATAATTAAATTATTTAATAAGAATAATATTGGTACGGTATCATACCAAAATATCGAACTTTCCGAAAATTTATACCGATACCATACCAAAGTTTTCGGTATTTTCGACACGATACAGTACGATAAGTCGGTATTTCGGTATATTCGGTAAATTTTTCCATCCCAAGTTCCACCTACCATGTCTACATTACTATTTCTGTTCCGTCCTGTATTTCATGTTACTTTTTTTTAAAAAAAAAAATAATTATACACTTTAATCTTATTTTAAATTTTGTAATTTAAATTTTCTTTTAGTTTTAATTAAACTAATTAATTATCTTAATTTTAATATATAATTATTTATATTATACAATAATTATTCTTACTAATACATTCTTAATTATCTATTAATTATATTTATTCTAAATTTTTGTGTATACAATGATCCAGACATCCAACGTGGAACAGATGAAGTATTTATTTTGAGTCTTTTTGTTTGTGAATAATTGTTTGTTGTTATATAAATAGAAATTTGATTTAATATTTTAAATGTAAAATAAATTTATAATATTAATTTTATATTTATATTTATTTATATTAATATGTTGGTATTAATTTTACAATAAACTAATTTTTAAATACTAAAACTATTATTAATATACAATCAATTTACTAAATATTTCTCAATTAAACAATTTCTCATAAATATTATTAAATAAATAAAAATATATGCACACATTAATATAATATATCATTTTGTTCTTTTAACCAAAATTTTTAACACATTTTTCTAGAAAAAATTAATATATTACACATATTTTTTAATTTATATTATCACACACATTTTTTCAAGTTTTATACTCCTTCAGTCCCATTGAAAAGTTAGCATTTTTTATTTTCGTCAGCTCCAATACAAGATTACAATTTCCTAATTTAGTAATTGTACTACCTACTTCACATAATAAATACCCTTTCAACTTACAATATATTACATAAATGTCATTACTTTTATATTACACTATACTAATACGGGTATTTTTGTTTTTTTTTACTATAATCCAATTAATACTAATATTAAAAAATTTACGTGTAAAAAGCAAACGTCACTCTTCTCGCAGGACGGTATAAAAAATGTCAAAACACAGAACAAACACAATCCATGTTTTTTTTTATTATTATCATTATTACATTTTATTTTATAAAAAAAAATATTATTTTTTATTATAAATAATTGAGTGTGTTTATATATATAATTTTGATTTTGAATATTAGTTTTGATTTTAAATAATAAAATTTTAAATTAAAATAGTATATATATATGAATGTAATGTTTATAATATAAATTTAGTTTTTAATTTAATATTATAAATAAAAAAATAGATATTTAATTAAATATTTTTTAAAAAAATAATTTTTAAATAATAAAATCAAAGGTGATAAATAATAAACTCACCCTACATTAATATATTCATTTGAAACGCCGGTCAAACAAACTAAAATCTTCGAATGGCTTTGTTTCGATAGGAAAAATGAAAAAATTTAATATTTTGATGTAATATTTTATAAAAAAAAATAAATAAATATTTAATGTATTATTTTTTTAAAAATAAAAATTTTATTATTTTAATGTAATATTTTATTTAAAAAATAAATACTTAATGTAATATTTTCTAAAAATAAATAATGTCGTAAAATGACGGTATTCTCCTTTCTTAAGGTTTGTTTGTTTGGGGTTTGGATTTTGAATTGAGATTTGAATAGTAAAAATTTTGAATTTGAATACTCATATAATTTGATATAAATAGATGTTGATGTAATATTTTAAATATAAAATTAATTTTTAGTATAATATAAAAAATAAAAAATAATTATTTGATTTAATTTTTTTTTTAAAAAAAAACTAAATAGATAGTAGATATAAAATCCAATCTCCAAAAAAACACACCGATAATATATATGTAAATGATTTTGTACCATATAGTAATAAAGAATTGGAAAGCGTACGCGCGTAAGGAACGCGTGGGGCAGATGAATATCATATCCTTCCTTCCCAGTATAATAACTATATATGGAATATGGTTGAGGGCTTATGCACGCTACTTTGCGCCACCAGGGCCTTTCTGCTGAATTCCCTTAAATTTCTCACCCCAGGCCGAACGAAATCTTCATCTGCCTCTCTCTGTCTCGCAGCCATATCTCTCTGTAATTTTGGACTGAATTTGGACTAGGTTGGTCAATGATTCTGATTTTCTTGTTATATAGTATTGTATTGTATTTAGGTTTTTTGATTTGTGATTATTAAATTTGTTCTGATTGACCATTTGAATTTTGTGTTCCTATTGTTCCCACCCACGCAGGTTGGTTTGGTATGCTGCGATTATGATTTTGGATGTTCTTAATTTCTATGGCTGTTTGTGTGGAAATATATTCCCCTTTTTTTTTGTTGGTTACTGATATGTTCGTGATTATTTGGCGATTAATTTTGCCACCGAACGTTTTTTTTATTTTGAATATATATGTTTTTTTTTAAGGAAAAAAATGGAGTGTGGTTTAACCAATTATTTCCCTAACTTTTGAGTAATCTTTGTTTCGAAAGAGAAACTGATCATAATTTATTGAGTATGCTTGTATTATCTGGTAGGTTTATATATGGTGGTATGAAATTCATTTCAGCATCTTGTGTGGCTGATGAACTTTTAGATATTGCTGCCATAATACAACTATTTTAAGGTTTGTGATTTCATTAGATTGTCTCTTTTGTGGCTTTGAGAAGAATTTTAGAACTCATCATTATATAGTTATGGATAAGGTCGTTTCATTAAACAATCTCTTGTCAGGGTTGCTGATAGAAATGTTTAGTTATGAAAAATCTTGAAATACATAGCTGTTTTGTTTTACACAAGGTTATAAAATTTCTCAGAAATATCCATCCTGATATAAACTAGTAGGGCATTTATGTATTTGAAATCATCTTTAATTTCTGATCGATTACCAATTGAGAAAAAGGCCAAAATTATCTATGGATAGTTTAATAATTATGTGCTTTCTTTTATTACATTTTCACTGTTAATATGGATGGCATGGATATATCACTGGGTGCCTGTGAATGTGCTCTTGTTATGTGCATATACTTAAAGCATATCATGGTTTCTTACAGTAAGTGACTTGAGCTTTTTGAATCAATTTATCTGTGCATAGTTTTTAATTCAATCGAAAGAATGGAAGGGGGAAATAACAACAACAATAACCAGGATAAAGGGTTATTCTCTAATCTTGCTGCATATGCCGCTGGAGGTGGGCTTTATCGTCCACCTTATGGAGCTTACCCCCCATCCTATCCTCCTCCACCTGGCTATGCTCCAGGAGGGTATCCTCCTCAGGGCTACCCACCCAGTTATCCTCCAGCTGGTTATCCTCCACCAAGCTACCCACCAGCTGGCTATCCTCCTCCTCCGGCTGGTTACCCAGGGGCACCACATGTGCCATCACCGTATCCTCCCCATCATGGGTACCCTCCATCTGGCTATCCAGGTCCATCTCATTCAGGTATCTCTATTTCAAGTGTAGAATTAGATTTTAAGTGTGATAGTTGCATTTATTTTTTCTGCTACATGTGATCCTGGATTATTATTATCATTCATCATTTTTTCGGTTACTGTCTTTATCGGCCAAAAGCATGGTCTTTTGTAGGAAACCGTCTTCATGAATTGTGTTCTTTATGTTACACTATAAGTGGTTGAGTTGCACAAGATTAACATTGTTTCTGTTCTGTAATCTTGTAAAAGAATAAGGAAAGCAGGATAATTTGATAACATTTTTTATTGATAGAATCTTGACTGTTCCCTTATGTTTGTTTGTGGATTTGATTTTTTGGTTTGGATTTTTTAATAGTAAAATTAATTTTTAGTATAATATAAAAAATGATATTTTTGAAAAAAAACAATAAAGTGAATAGTAAAATTTTGTGAGAAATCTACAAAAGAGCATCTCTATAATTGTCTTGGTCATCAAGCTGGTGGCAGGCCATTTAAATCAAGAGGCTTAAAGTAGAATACCATACAATCGAACTCTTTTACAATTGTTGGTGGGATTTGCTTGTAACTTCTCAAATGGACAGAGTATTTGATCATCAAGCATTGCCTATGAGATTACCTTCATATTCTTTTTTTTTTTAAACCATTCTTGTAGTGTTTTCCTCTTTGCCTACACTTTGTGGATGTTTCTTCCAATTTTCAGAATTAAAACCTTTGTAGTAGAATTATCTAGCTATTGAGTTACCTACGGTGTTGACTCCTGGTGTGTTTGGTCAACAAATTATTAATGTTATGATGAACAAATTGTCTTAGGTCCAGGAATTGGAGCACTTGTAGCTGGAGGTGCAGCTGCAGCAGCCGCTGCATACGGGGCTCACCACTTAACACATGGTGGATATCATCATGGTATGTTCCATCATGGCAAGTTCAAACACGGGAAGTTTGGGAAACGCTGGAAGCACGGCATGTTTGGAAAGCACAAGTTCAAGAGATGGAAGTGGTGATGCAACAGAATCAGGTTTGGTTTCTTTTAAAAGCATCCTCTGTTATTACACACTCGTATTATTACGATGTCTTTAGTTTGATGAATCATGAGGAAATATATAGGAAAGTATGGTCTTGTATGGCCCCCTAAACTCGTATTCTTATTATAGTTTCCAAACTTGGTTTTGTAAATATGATTCTTGATTGTTCCTTTATTTATGTAATGAGACAACTTTTGTGTGTTAGTAACTCGATGTCGATGAAGAGGTTAGATGACTAGTCATGTTATAAGTTGCCTAATTTTAAACTCAAAGAAAGGTAAACCATAAATTTTAAACAAATTCAAGAAATAGAAAAAAGAAAGAAAAAAAAAAAAAAAAAAAAAAAAGATCATCAGTCTAGATGGGTAAATGATCAATAATTTTTAGGAATATTTGGAACATTTCATTTGTGAGTAGACTGTAGAAGGGTTGTTTCCATAGTCCCAATATTAAGGAGTATCTTTGTTTAGGACTTTCAAAATTTGAAGTTTGGATCGTAAAATTTTAGATTTAAATAAATGTATATAAAATATAAATATGTATTAATATAATATTTTAAATATAATATAAAAATTATTTTTTCATTTAATATTTTTTGGGTTAAAAAAATCCAACTTTTACGAAATCCGAACATACACAACCTACACAATATCCCCTTTCAATTGGAAATCCCTAGTCCAGAGGGATTGTCGGGTCGGGTCGGTCGGACCCTGGTAAAACCCGACCCACTTTAAACTGTAAAATTTCTTAGTTAAATAGCTGCAGTTACAGTTGCAGGTGCAGTTTGAGCTTATGGCCGACCCATCTTCTTCAAAACCTTCATTTCGCACAAAAACACACACACAAAGAGTTTCAAGAAATCACAAGAAACCCTAAAAATGGCCATGGCTATGGCTATGGATAAGCTCCTCTTCACCCTCCTCCTCCTCTTCCTCCTTTCTTGCTCCGCAGCCTCCTCCGCCGACCCCACCGGCGTCAATCTCCCACCGCCGTCGTCCTCCGCCCTCGTCGCCGCCGAGATCCTCCGTAGCAGAGGCTACTCCCTATTCGCCTCCGTCATCGTCTCCCTCTCCTTCGTCAGCTCCAATTTCTCCGGCACCGTTCTCGCCCCGCCGGACTTCGCCTTCGCCTCCGCCACCGCCATGTTCCTCAACAACCGCCGCCCGGCGCCGCGCCCCTCCGTCACGCTCCTCCTCTACCACACTCTGAAACCGCCGCTGGTCCTCACGTGGCCCGCCATCTCGGCACGTGACGTCGGAGATGAGCTCCCCACCCTCTACAACAATAACTGCCTCTACGTCTTCCGCAGCCCCTACGGCGGCGACGTCCTCATTTCGTCTTCTCCGTTGAGAAACCCTCTCGACGCCGTCCAGATCCGCCAGCCGGACCTCTACGCCGACGACCGTCTCACCGTCCATGGAATCGACGGCGTCCTCGACCCTTCCTTCGCCGCCAGGTGCAGCGCCGCCAGAAACTCCGACGTCCGTACGATGGAGCAGGAAGGTCGCCGCCGCGTCAATCGGACGTTCCTCGACCACGCGATGAGAGGCCTCCGCCGCGCAGGCTTCACCACGGTGGCGGCGGCCATGGCCGTTGCCAGATCGGAGATGCTGTCGTTGCCGTCGGTTACAATTTTTGCCGTTTCCGATCGGAATTTGTTTCTGAAACCTGGCGGTTTCCGATTCGATTTTCATCACCACGTTGTTCCGATACGACGCCGTATTGCAGATCTCGCCATTGGAACGGAGCTTGTTACTCTTGCTCCGAACAAAACCCTCGCCGTCGACTCCGTCGACGGCACCCTCACCGTCGGCGGCGTGGTCGTCGGAAAAACAGAGGTTTATCGTAGCCGGTGGATAATCGTGCTCCCGATCATGAATTCATTTGACGACGTCGAAGATCCTCCCCAAAATCCAACAATCGTCGATCAGGTTTCCGACGACTTCGCAAATTCCCTGCCTCCAATTCCCAGCGCTCCTTCTCCGGCGCCGGCGTCGGCGTCGGATCTCAACCCTAGTCCAGTGCCGGAGGTTATTCCGGTCATTTCGACGGATTTCAATTTACCGGAAGTACCCTCTCCCTCTCCATTATCGGAAATCGGCGTCGGGGAAGCTCCGGAATCCAGCGATTCCGCCGGCGGTCAGTCACCGTCTGCGGAGGCGGAGGCTTCGCAGACCTCAGTGAGTTCTCCGGCGCCGGAGCCGGCGGCGGAAAATCCTCCGGCGGAACCGGAGGAGCGGTGCGTGGTGGCGAGCGGGGTGGAAGGCGGCGACCTGTTCTGCGCGGAAGGGGCGGCGGCGCGGCGGATGCAGGAGGTGGACGATCCGATTGGTGGACACGTGGACGAATCTAAGCCGTCGAATTTTGGTGCTGGTGATACGGAAGGCGGGATGGATGAAGATTTGACCCAATTCGAGAATGTCAAACTCGGTGAGATTAATGTCAACATCGCAGATGACATATTTTTCTACACCTGATTCTTGCCACGTGGCAGAAGTAAGTGTATTTTCTCATACACTTTTAGCAAAACTTCTTTTGTACTTGAGAGTCTTCCCTTCATATTTTGATTGCAAATATGTGTCATTTTCAATTTTCTTTTAACTTTGACTCAAGAAATGGATTTGATTTAGGAATGGATTCATGTGTCCATTAAATCATTTTTTTTTCTTTGTTTGTTTCCATTCCAATTATGCATTTTTCATGTGTTAATACTCCCTCCGTCCCGATGTGTTTGACGTAAAATATTAATATTATATTGGTAGTGAGTAAAATATAGGGATAAAAGACTTTTTTTTTTTTTTTTTTTGTCTTTACGAGTGTATTAGTGTAAAAAATAGTGGCAATTAAAAAGACTATTGTTTTAGAACAGGTAAAAATGATAAACAAACACTATTTTAATACAATTATTTGAAACTTTTTAGTATTTGGACTTTTCTTTTTTTTTTTCCTTAGAAAATATCCCTTTAAATTATTTAAACACAAAGCTTAAATCAAATCTTTTTAAATTAAATCAAAGAAGCACTCCCTAAGTGTAATAAAAATACTTTTAATTTGATTTTATATTTTAGTTGCAAAAAATATATATATTTATTAATAATTTTAAAAAAATGTGAATTTTGAAAATCATATAATAAAAAATTGAAACACATACCGAATAAAAAAGAGGCTATAATTTCTCATCAATAAAAATGGATTTAATAAGATCAATCCAAGATTCCAAGCAGGTGGTATGTTGAGGTGGATCGGGTCATATCAGGTATGGTCGGGTCGGGTCGGCCCACGGCCAAGCCCAATCCTAAACCTTCACTCGGCCCTTCGTCTCCTACCAGTCTTCCTCATCTTCATCGTATTCGGCTTCAGCTAGGACCAGACCACCAGCTTCGTCGTCGTCGTCTTCTTTTTCTTCAGTTTCTTTGGAGGCTTTGTAAGTTCCATATTTGCACTAATTTTGAATTGCTTTGCTGTTATGTAACATTTTCAATATGTTGGTGGTATAGCAGAGTGTATTTCTGTTATTTCAATTTATATTCGTTTGATCGAGTGTTCGATGGTGGCCAAAATGTTGTATTGCCAAGTTTGATGTGTTTGATGCCGTTTCAAGTTCGAACCAAAGATATCTTATTCCTTTTTAGATTGCGTTGCTATTTTATTTCGATGTGTTTTTTTGTTAATCCAATTTCAGACCAGTAGGTATCTTATTGCTGCTTTTTGAATGCGTTTTCTGTTTTTCCCAAATTTTCTGTTTAGTTTCTATTTCATTTTGATGTGTTTGTTGCATTTGAGTTAGAATGAATTGTTATTCTGATGTGTTTTTTGTTTTGTTTTGAAATTTGAGTTTCATTGAGTTGTTATTCTACAAATTTGAACCATTTTTCTATAGATATTGCTTCTAACTATTTACAAGATGATAAAGAATATTGATAGTTTTAATCCGACACCTCTAACTATGGCTAATGGGATTTCCGAGCATTTTAATGATCTCACCACAAACACTTGATCACTCTTGTGTCTGCATTTTAACACCTATGTTCTTACTGATTTCTTGTGCTCACCTAAATCCGAAAGTGCCTAAAGAAAACCAACAATGGTGATATTCAAAAGGCTAATAAACATGAAGAATGAACTTCTGAGGTTGTGATTCACTACTACATATTTATTTTTGATGTATGCATTCAGTCATTATCGTATCTGACATATAATTGCGCCTGCCAAAATATTGTATTTATCGAATGAATTACTCATTTTTGTTGCAACTTTGTTTGGCTTCCACAGAGCATCTATGGTGCCCTGTTAACCAGCCTTTAAGGATAGTATCTTCTTATTTCTTTCTCATCTTGAATCTCATTTTGGTTTCAGATAATCACTAAATGGAAGGGATGAAGAAAGAGTTCTGTGTTTCCCCAATTTTTTCTCCTTTTTTGGTCCAATAAGTCGATTCCTTTCCTGTCACTTTGTTGTCCATCATCCACTCGTGCTAATGAAATGAGACACTCGGCAGCTGAATTGGCGGGAGTTATTGGCCGGGCATTGGTTATGGCGGCCAACAAAATGTCACCGGTTCAGATTTGGTCCCCGTCATTGGAACAAACATTGCATCAGCTTGGCTGTCGAGATTTCCTCACTCCGACCCTTGTTGGACGAGTGATCGATCCTTTCCTCCTCGGCAATCATCACCTTGCTTTTGGATTCTTCAATTGGGCTGCCCAGCAACCTGGATTCAGTCACTCCTCTGTCTCTTACCAATCTGTGCTGAAATCTCTCTCCATGTCTCGGCAGTACAGCTCCATTGACAAGCTCTTGAAGCAAGCCAGGGTGCAGAGGATTGCATTGCATCCTTCTGTTCATCGTTTGATCATTAGTTCACTTATCTCAGGACGGAGAACCCATGTGGCGTTCTTGGTGTTTAATGAGATTGGCGCAGCAGTCCGGGAGATCGGGCCTGAAGTTTGTAACTCACTTCTAGCAGCATTGTCGTCTGAAGGGAATGTAACGAATGCATATAAGGTGTTCGATGAAATGGTCAAGAGAGGCGTTCCTTTGAGTACACTTGGTTTTGGGGTTTTCTTATGGCGAGCTTGCAGAAAGACGGGATTAAGTGAGATTTTTAACTTTTTGGACGAGTTTAAGAAGTTTAACTCCAAGGGGTTCGACGGATCCATCATTGCTCTTTTAACAGTTCATGGATTGTGCATGGATTCTCGAGCGAAGGAGGCGGCATCTGCTTTAGAAGAGTTGAGAAAACGAAACTGCAAGCCTGATTTCATGGCATACAGAATTGTAGCCGAGGCGTTGCGCGAGATCGGGGATGTGGTTGACGTCGAGATGGTTCTGAAAAAGAAGCGTAAGTTAGGCGTGGCGCCGAGAATGGATGACTACAGAGAACTTATTCTTCAGTTTGTTTCCGAGCGGCTGATAAATGAAGCTAAGGAATTGGGTGAAGTAATCGTGCTCGGAAATTTCCCAATGGACGACGATGTTCTGAATGTCCTCATAGGATCTGCATCCGCTTCCGACCCTTTACAAGCCGTCTCATTTTTAAGGTTTATGGTCGAGAAAGAAAGATTCCCAGCTCTTCGAACATTGATCAAATTGAGCGAAAATCTCTGCAAGCTAGAGAAAGGCGACGAGTTGGTAGAAGTTTTCCAGCTCTTGTCGACAAAAGATTACTTCTACAACATGGAGAGTTATTCTGTGATGGTTTCGTTCCTTTGCAAAGCTGCAAGAATCAAAGAAGGTTATCGGGTTCTTCAGGAGATGAAGAAAAAAGGCCTGTCTCCAGATGTTTCGATTTACAATTCTCTCCTCGACGCTTGCTGCAGGGAGGATCTAATCCGGCCTGCGAAACGCCTCTGGGATGAAATGTTCGCCAGCGGCTGTTGTGGCGATTTGAAGAGCTACAACATCCTCATTAAAAAGTTTTCTGAGCTAGGACAAGTTGAAGACGCCTGTCGCCTGTTCGATCTCATGTTTGTTAAAGGAACGGAACCTAATGAGTCGACGTACAAAATTCTCCTTCAGAGCCTTTGCGAAGCGAAAGATCTCGAAATGGCTGTTCGAATCTTCGACAAATCTGTCGAACAGGACGCAACACTCGGAAACAGATTGCTGCCTGGATTCATTCTCTGTTTATGCAAATCAGGTGAATCATATCAAGTTTAGGTAAAATTCGATTTTTTTGGTGAGGTTTATCTGTGTCTGTTTGTCGACAGGTTTCCATCGCCGGGCTTGTAAATTGCTGCAAAGCGGCGTTGCCTACGATCAGGAGTCGAATTTAACTTTACTGAGACATTTGGCTAACATTGGAGAGCTTCCAATGGCTACCAAACACCTTCAATGGATTGCAGAGAAATTCCCTGCAGTGGTACATGCTATTCGAATCGAATTAGCTTCGGCATGGCTTCCATCTTCTTTGAAACCGGACCCGATCGAGATGCTGTTGGTGGAAATAGTGAAGGTATCCAAGCTTGCTATATAACATCCATATATATATATATATGTATATATTGTTGGGATCAATGGCCAATCCAATAAATGAAGAAATACAGGAAGAAAAAAGGCTTCAATTTTGAGTAAGCTATAAGTTGCTTTTTTGTTCATTTGCATTCTTTTTAGCCATTGAATTTGTCTCTTCGCCATTGATAAGTGAAGCTACCTAAGGTAATGCAGGTGGAGGAGGTGAGGCAATCAATGGATAGAAGATGCCGGAATTGTGAAAAGCTTAGGGTGTGTTTGTTTGGGGGTTTGAATTTTGAGTTGAGATTTGAATAGTAAAATTTTTGAATTTGAATAGTGTACGATGTGATACAAATAGGTGTTGATGTGATATTTTGAATGTAAAATTGATTTTTAGTATAATATAAAAAAAATAAAATAGGTCTTTGATTTGATTTTTTTGGGGAGAAAATGGAATGAATAGTGAAGATCTAATCCAATTTCCCAAACAAACACACCCTTAGTGTACAGAGGTATGGTATTTAATTTCTTGGAATATTTTCTAATTAGGTATTTAAAATCGGATCCTGTCGAAATTTTTTTGGGTAGAATATGTATCACAAATGGTGTGATAAACTAACTTTTAGATGGTTTGTTTGTTTAGTGTTTTGATCCGAAGATTTTTTTTTTTTTTTTCTTTTAATGTGAGATATATAGATCATATCGAAAATATAAACTATAATGTTTCTTGGCTAATTTTTTAGACTAAAAAATAATAAATATTTTATTGCAAAAATGATAATAGATAAGTTATTTTTAAAATTTTAATTAAAAATTAAGATAAATTAAAGAAAAAAAAAAAAGAATAAATTTACTATTTATATAGCATCAGACAATTTTACTAAACACATCTATCTATCAGAAGACTTGTATTATATACACAAGTTTATTAAGAAAAACACCAAAGCTTACACGAAATTAAAATCACCAAAACAGATAGATCTACTGCAGCTGCTGCTAATTTTGCATTATTTGTATACACAAAACACATTCTCGCTGTACCCAGAGAGAAGAATCAAATCCAGCACTGCTAAAATAATAAACTGTAACCAAACACAAACAACACCAAACCAAACAGGAAATCCAACGAAAACCCGAAACCGAAAATCTTGCAGTTAAAAAGTGAAATGTAGTAGTTGCAGCAGATTACTCGTTCGAAGTAGATACCTCGACTGTCTTCGAGTCATCACTTCCATTTCTTGAACTTGTGCTTCCCTCCAAAGAAGCCGTGCTTTCCTCCTTTACCAAACTTGCCATGCTTGAACTTTCCGCCGTGCTTGTTGTGCTTAAACTTGCCATGGCCACCATGGCCGCCGTGATAACCTCCGCCATGCATCAGGTGGTTGGCGCCGTAAGCAGCTGCTGCTGCTGCGGCACCACCAGCTAGGACTGCTCCTACTCCACCACCTACGAGGTTTATGTAAATTTTGAAAATTGAAAATTTTGTAATTCTCAATAAAAGTAACAAATCGAATATAGGAGAGAAAAAGGGGCAACAATGGACAAGGTAATCGATTATTGGAGTAACTGTTTGATCCGTACCTATAATAGTTCGGTGATTTTAACAACCATGTAGGAATTATGTCTATGTAAGTTTCTCCACATACAAAAGGGACATTGTATTTAATGAAAGTTCCAACATACATGCAAATGTTCATCATTTAATCAACTAGCCAAATGGAACAGATTGAAATACCCTAACGTCTGGTTGTGTTCTTTTGTGGATTTTACCACAGATATTCAGATTCTTTTTTCTCTCCAAAAATATTAAATCAAATAGTTATTTTTCTTTTTTAATATTATATTTCAAAATTATTTTACTCAAAACATCACATAACATCTTTTTTATATCACATCAAATATCTATTCAAATTTAATTTTTTACTATTCAAAAGTCTGAATCCAAAAACTCAAACCCACGAACAAACACACTTTGAGGTTGTGTTCTTTTGTGGACCACAACTTTAACTATTCAACTTTTTTTCCCTAAAAAATTATCAAATCAAACAATTACTTTTCTCTTTTCTCATTAGTCTGCTCAATAACACAGCGATCAAACAGATGAAACCAAACCATTATGATAGAGAACCAAGAACCAATCACAAGCCGTCAAGTAAAAAACTCGGATGCAGCCAAGAAATGCGAACACTCATTGGTTGTTTATTCAACAGCAAACATGGAGATACCTGAATGAGATCCAGGATGGTGACCTGGATAAGCTCCTGGAGGGTAGCCTCCCGGAGGATACCCTCCTTGGGGAGGATAACCTTGCGGAGGGTACCCTTGTGGGGGGTAGCCTTGCGGATATCCCTGGGGCGGCGGATAGCCCTGCGGGGGATATCCATGAGGGTAAGCTCCATGAGGTTGATTGTGATGTCCTGCAGCTCCCACAGCATAAGATGCTAGATTAGACATTAAACCTTTGTCATGAGTATCATCATCATGCTTGTCCTTGTGCTTGTCCTTTCCTCCTCCCATCTTTCTTTAACTGTATAAAAGATACACAGAATGAGCAAGATGGATCGTCAAAATCAAGCTCAAAAAAGTGTAATCATCAAACATATGGTTCTACAGTAGCCAATCTTACTCTGATCGGAAAGTATATTGGGATAATCTATAGTAAAATTTATGCTTTCCTTAACTGAATAAAAGATCCACAGAAGGGACAAGATGGATAATCAAATGGGATAATCAAATGGGATAACCAATCGTAAAATTTATGCTTTTCTTTGACTGAATAAAAGATTCACAAAATGAACAAGATGGATCGTCAAATCAAGCTCAAAAAAGTGTAATCATCAAACGTATGATTTCACAGTAGCCATTCTTACTCCCATTGGAAAGTATATTGGGATAATATATCGTAAAATTTATGCTTTTCTTTAACTTAATAAAAGATTCACAGAATGAACAAGATGGATCATCAAATGTGATAATCAATCATAGAATTTATGCTCTTCTTTGACTGAGACTGAATAAAAGATTCACAGAATGAAAAGATGGATCATCAAAATCAAGCTCAAAAATAGCATCTTCATCAAACATATGGTTTCACAACAGCCATTCTTGCTCCGATTGGAAAGTATATTGGGATAATCAATCGTAAAATGTATGTTTTTTCTTTAACTGCATAAAAGATTCACAGAATGAACAAGATGGATCATCAAAATCAAGCTCAAAAAATGTGTCATCATCAAATGAATGGTTTCACAGTAGCCATTCTTACTCCGATTGGAAAGCATATTGGGATAATCAATTGTAAAAATTATGCTTTTCTTAGACTAAATAAAAGATTCACAGAATGAACAAGATGGATCATCAAAATCGAGGTAAAAAAATGTGTCATCATCAAACGTATGGTTTCACAGTATCCATTCTTACTCCAATTGGAAAGCATATTGGAGCAATCAATCGTAAAATTTATGCTCAATGTTTCAACGTGCTCATAGAATGATAAGAATTAGCTGTGTCAAAAACAAATCTACGATCCTTACACCAAACAGAAACTCTTGAATGCCACCTTATGTCCTTATCTAATCTAATATCTCCTCTATAAACAGAACAAATCTCAAATAATGTGACTTAAACACAGAAAGGTTATAATTGCTGCACATCGCGAAAGATCTGCGCCTGCAATTCATCTTATAATATTAAAATCATCCAAAAAATGCACACGAATGATGAAATTGCCAGATAACGACGGTGATGGATCCAATAAATCCAAAAAATCACGATCCCCATCGATGCGAACAAAATTGACTCAAGTAAGCAACTAGATAATAAAAAATCAAAAAATTAATAATAATCTCGTGGCTCATACGAATTCATCTAAACAAAAACAGATCCACAAAAGGTCAAGACATAATTCAACATTTCTTCTGCAAAAATGACAAACCTAGACAAGCAGCAAATAACAAAAACAACCAGATCGGAATTGCAACAATAATCTGTGAATCAAGGAGATTGAGATTGAGATTCATTTACCTCTCTGGGTCGAGAATATCTTCGGTACCGATGCGGTGTGGATCGATTACTCGGTATTTATGAGGGAACGTTGGGCGTTGAGCTTCGCCACGTGTAGTCATCACGCGTTCCTTCTCCGCGTAGACTTCATCCATTTCGTATATCGGGAAAATAATAAATACGGCCGTCTGAATAAAATTGTAAGTATCTTTCCTTATAACTACGTATAAATATTATTATTATATTAAAATATAGTAAAAATAAATTAAAAATTATTAAAATAATTTTAATTAGTGATATAAAAGTAATATTATTTGTATAATATATTGTAAGTTGTAAAAGTATTTATAACGTTAAATAAATAGTACAATCGAAATGAATACTTTGTGGACATGCTAAAATGAAAAAATAAATAATTTTTTTAAAAAAAAAAAAAAAGATGTAGTACTCCATTTGTAAAAAATAATTTAAAAACTATATTAATAAAAATAAGTGTATATTAAAATAAAAATAATTAATTAAATTAATTAAATTATAAAATTTAATATATTATAATTATTTTTGAAAAAGAAATGAATCAATTGTGCGAGGAAATAAAAAAATCTGAAGTAATTATACGATATAGAAATAAAATTATTATTATCATTTATTTATTTCATAATTTTTAATAAAATTTGTATAATACTAATCTTCCCATTTTACAATACAGAATTTTAATAAAATTTGTATAATATTAATCTTCCCATTTTACAATGCAGAATTAGTGTTTTATATATTTAGGGTTAAAAGTATAGGGTTAAAAGTAATGTAACGAATGGACAGTAAAAATTTTGATATGTATGTTTAAATAATTGACATATTTCAATTTTTAATAAAATATATTAAATTAGAACTTATTTTATAAATATAAATCAATTTAATTAACTAAAATAACATATAATATCGTAAATATAGATTATTTAAAATTTTTTATTTTTTTTTTTCCCTAAAAATAAATAATTTTATTTACATTTAAAATTTAATCTCTTTTATAAAATTAATTTATAGTAATTATAAATTAATAAAAAATATTTTGTTATTTATTTTATTATAAAAAATTTTATTTTTTATATACCTATATTGCATATATTTTTTTATAATATAACTTTTAATGTATTAAATTTATATTCTAATTTTTTTAATTATATATATTAATTTTTTTATATAAAATCAATGTCCTATATATATATATTTTAAAAAAATATTCTTTCCGTCCGAGGAAATATAATTATAAATTAAAATTAAAATGACTAAATAATTTAATTAAAATAAAAAAATTATCCCATCGGTTAACAATTTATCAATTTTTTTTATTTTGGTCCATCTATAACAAAGTATTATTTTTTTAGTAACGATACTATCTACAATATCATACTAATACTAATAAGGGCAGTTTAATTTTTTTTAACTTTATTTTTCTAATATAATATTAATATTTTTAAAACAAATGAGTATAAAATATAAATTTTAAAATATAATTAAAACATAATTAAAATATAATACCATTTACATTTTGTCTCATTATACTTAACATTAAAAATATCTTGGGAATGGGCACGTTGGTATAAAATAGAATGTAAAATACTAAAATACCCTTCCTTTTTGAATGATTTTAAAAAGTAGGTTAGAGTAATAATTATAGATAGTTTGAAAAAGTAGAAATAATTTTGTTATAAGAAAAAGACAATTTGTCTTTGGACAGACAAAAAAAAAAAAAAAAAGACAATTCTATTGGGACGGATGAAATATTTAAAAATCAATATGTAAAAAGTAAACTAAACATTTGGAATCAGGTTTAAGAAGATAATATAATTATACTCTATTCCTTCCAAAAGTATAGTCTTATTGTGTTGTATACCGAATTTAAACAATATTGATATTATATTGATAGTTGGTAAAAAGTATAGACAAATTACTTTTTCGCCCTTGTAAGTATATTAGTGTAAAAAGTAATGACAATTGTGTAATAATAATGAAAAAATAGGAATAATTTTATGGTGACATGATTATTTATGAAATGAAACTATTGTTTTGGGACGGAAAAAAATGATAAACGAAACTATTATATTAGGAAGTGAGTATTTTAAAAAATAATATTCCTTTCGTCCCATAAAGACGTATTCATTTGTTTTTTACAAGTAGTTTTAGAAATATTAGTATTATTATGATATAATAGGAATAAAGTAGAAATGACTAAAATAACCTTAGTATGTGTGATATAAAGACAATGATATTTGTGTAATATATTATAAATTGTAAAGGTATTTGTAATGTTAGATAGATAGTACAGTTACTTTGTTATGAATAGACTAAAATAGAAAAATTAATACTTTGTTATGAGATGGATGTCGAGAGTAACAATAATAAATAATAAATAATATATATATATATATATGTGGAGAGACAAAATACTGGACGACAGGCCTAAAAAGTTTCGCACACAATCCACGTTCGAAGAGCAGGACTGGAAGGATTCATGCCATCATGTCTCCGGCAGAGTGAAGGCCACACCAAATCATTTGCCACCACATAATTCCGCCATCGGTAACTGCCTCCCATTCAGCCCCCGGCGGCAGATGGCGGCGCTCTTCGCATGCTCCGCCCCACTTCCTCCACTACCCTCCGCCCGACGTCGCTGTGCTCTGTTTAGGACTCATTCGGTTTCTTCTCAAAATTCCACTTCCGCCGCTCGCCGCCCTGCCGTCATTCTTCCGGTTAATGGCCTCTCTCTCTCTCTGGAGTCTGGAGCATGCGTTCTATTGATGTTCATTATTGGAATCATTTCTGAGATTTTATATTTGTTTGTTGTAGGGATTGGGGAATAATACAAATGACTACCAGAAGTTAGCCCTAATTTTGAGCGATTATGGCGTGCCGACGGTGATTGCGAAGGTCTCGAGAATTGATTGGCTGAGAAATGCTGCTGGATTGCTGGACTCGAATTATTGGCGAGGGTCGCTCCGCCCTCGACCAGTTCTCGATTGGTCGGCCATTCACGTGTTCTTATGATGTTCATTTCTTCTTCTTGTTACGCCTGATGTTACAGTGGCAACAATATTCAATGTTTTCTTATGTTTAATGGCAGGTATCTTAAGAGGGTTGAAGCAGCTGTTAATGAGGCCAAGGAGTTGGCTCAAGGTTAGTTTTCATTGCGATAACGTTTTGCAGATTTCATGGCAGTAATGTGCTGATAAAATGGTCATGATTTCCATCAGTTTGGTTCATATTATTGTTTTAGTGACATGAGCTATACCAATTAGTGTTTAATGGTTTCATGCAGTGTGTCAATTAGAGCTAGTTGCCTTTATTATAGTAACTAGAATATGAAACTGAAATTTTTTATTCAATCATGGGCAACAATCCTATCAATTTCTTAAATAAAAGAATACTATAAATATAATTGTATATATTTTTTAAATATATTTTAACACATCTCCTCAAATTCAAGATATGATTGAATAAGCTTTAGTTTGTCATAAGCAAATGTAGTCGAGATATTCCACGAACGAATTTGAATTTGTCAAGATGGACCAAAAGTGGTGTAGCCGTCCATAGGAAGCATATTTATCAACATCTTTAGAGTTGGAAACAAAACATCAGTCGCTCATTCGTAATAAAACTAAAGTCGAAAGCAGAACTCATTCGCTCACAACAGAATTAGAGAGTCGAAGATAGGACTCGCTGCTCTCAATAGAGTTATAGTCGAAAATAGGACTCTCAACGGCGTTAAAATCGAAAGTAGAACTCATTTTGGAGATCGAAGTAGCAGAGACGGAGACAATATGAAAATGGCAGAATGACCGTGGATAAAAACATATACATCAATAAAATATAAAGACATATACAAAATGTAACGAGTCATGGATGTACATAGAGAGAATTTAGCTTTGATACCATGTTAGAATATGAAACTGAAATTTTCTATTTCAATCATATGAACTCTACATATGACAAGACAAATCTCTTAAATAAAAAAACTATCCTAAATATAATATATATTTTCTAAATATATTTTAACAATAGCTATGGTTCTAAGCAGTTTTCTGTTTCAAAAAGTACACCCTTCCCATGATTTTGGGTAGTGACATTAAGCACAAAAGAATCAAATGATTTCCATGGTTAATGCTACTTTTTAAGAAGAATTCCATCTCTATAACCTCTACTTTTTTTCATACCAAAGATTATTAGGCATGACTCTCGCAATAAACAGGGCTTCTATAACTCTGAACATCTAAACATGGACGAAAGGCATTTGACATACTTATTGTGCCATCTAAAGTTTTGTCCTATCTATCACATACGGCGTGAACTAGTAAAATCTGTTTGTCAAAAAGCACAAAGGAAAATATAGGAAGACTATTGGACAGAACAATGAGAAATGATCCAAGAAGCTGTAGAGGATTGAAGAAATTCTTCATTTTCGATAGTCTGGCTTATAAGATAACGGAGCCCCTTTCTAACACTGATTCACCTACTTATGCTTTTATATTTTAAACCTCTTAGTACACTATGCATTTAACATCTGTTTGGAATTTGTATGTTAATTTTAGATTTAAACTTTTTCTTTCTTTGGTGATGGTAGTAAGATTAATGACTCATAGGTCAAGGTGAACTTCACTCTGTTTCTAGTCAGACAAAGGACAAGAACTTGAACTAAAAAATCCTTATAGGCTGAGGCCATAATCACTGATAAGCCTTTAGTTTATTAACACTACTATTTATTCATCAGTGAATTAATTAGCTCATTGATAATACTTCAAAATAGTCTTCTCTCTCTCTCTCTCTCTCCTCATCAGTTGCTTCCCTTCTTTTAATCAATCCCATAAAGTATGTTACTCAACCAAGTTTGTTCAGTAAAAAAAAAAAAAAAGAACCAAGTTTGTTCGGTGTTGATCTATGATTGATCGTTTATGGATGCCACTAAGACCTATAGGCAGTTATGGACAAGTTTCTTTTGAAGGTTTCTTATATTATGCCAACTTAGTCTTGGTTTGATTAATTTTATTTTGATTTACTGAAGCTCGAAAGAAGGGTATAATAAGTATGGAGCTCATGGAAATGAAACTGGATTTGCAAACCAGGCTGTTCAGATTAATTTATGTTCTACTTAGATTCACTAATGCTCAAATGATCCCTTGCTCTTCCACTTAGGAGTTCATTTAAATAGAACACATACCAACATTTAAGCAGAGATCTGCCCGAGTCGTATTTAAGTGGAACTCCTTTCTGCTTAGAATTAGCCAACTACTCGTTTGGCTCAAACTCAATCCCTGCTTTGCATTTTCTCCTGCTCAATATCTCTTGGTCTCTTCTGCTTGCTTGGATGCTTTTGGAAGCTCAAATATATTCTTGGATGGAATTCAGCTCACTTATCTAGGTGCGACTCGACAAGATTCAATAAAGCTTGACAAGGCAATATATTTTTTTAATCTACATTAGACAAAGCTCGAGTTTGATTTAAAAACTTTCTGACAAGCTTGAGTTTGAACTTGAGCTTGTTTATGTAATTAAGCGAGCTTGAGTTCAGTTCTATAAAAAACTTGAGTCGAGTTCAAAAATAAAATACCTGACTTAGATTGAATAATAGGTCTACTTCAAACAAGATTGGTGTTTCTCTCTAGTTTTATGTTCTGGTCAGTCACCCGAGTTCTTCTCAAATTGTGTGAGCCTTCTCAATTTAGCCCCTAATGTTCAGATTTCATTCCTTTATTTTATTTCCGGTTTCGATTTTTCCATCCTAAATTGTGTTTATTAAGGGTAGAACCAAGTTATCTGTGCAGCAATGAACTTTTTTTCTTGCTTGAAACAACTTATTACATCCATAAACAGCGAAATCTTTGTGTAGGTTCAACCTTATCTTTGGTTGGGCACTCGGCCGGAGGATGGCTTGCTCGTGTTTACATGCAAGAATTCGGGATTTCAGATGTTTCCCTGCTGCTCACGCTAGGAACCCCACACCTGTACGTAATATTTCTGGAATGCATTCATAATTTAGTCATCATATTATGATAACAACATAAAAATCGAATTATCATTTCCTTCTATGTCAAATGCACTCTTGTTTTATAATATGCTTTAGTAAGTTGAAATCTTGATGAACTAAGAACAATTTTGTTTTCCATTGCATGGTTACATCAGTGCACCACCTAAAGGTGTATCAGGAGTCATCGACCAGACGAGGGGCCTTCTTGATTACATCGAAAAGAATTGTGCTAAAGCTGTCTACACTCCAGAACTAAGATTCGTATGCATTGCAGGGAGGTAAATTGAAAAATCCTATTCACAGGTGACTCCTTGCAGCAAAAGAACTATATATATATATATATATATTACTTTACATTGCTATATGATAATTAAGGGTGAAAATAGACCAGACGTTCGATTTAAGCTTATTTTAAAGCCTATTGAATTAATTAGAATAGACTAAGGCTTTAAAAAAAATCTTTTAAGCCTATAAGGCCGATTTATTTATATATATAATTTTGATTTAATATATAAAATTATTATATTTTTAAGTATTTATACTTTTTTAAAAAAAATTAATTTAGGGTGTATTTGTTTGGGGGTTTGGATTTTGAGTTGGGATTTGAATAGTAAAAAATTTGAATTTGAATAGTTGTATGATGTGATATAAATAGGTGTTGATGTGATGTTTTGAATGTAAAATTGATTTTTAGTATAATATAAAAAATGAAAAATAAGTGTTTGATTTGATATTTATTAGAGGAAAAAATGGGATGAATAGTGGAAATCTTCACAAAACCTTCAAACAAACACACCCTTAGTGATAATAATCAAATATAAAATTGATTTATTTTAACTATAATTATATATATACATACAATAATAATTGCATTTATATTTTTTTACTAATATTGAATTTTAAAAAATAGAAAATTAATTACTACCTCCGTTCGGCTCCAAATGTCATTTACTTTTTGTGTAAAAAATTGCAAAAATACTTTCATTAGTGTCTTATAATATTAATAGAAGAACATTTGTATAAAAAATGATGCAAAGATATTTTTAACTACGCAAGAGGTAAATATGATCCTTAGAGGCGGACGGAGGAAGTATTATATAAGCTTTTAAATAGACTTTTAGACTACATAGACTTAAAAATAGGCCAGACTCAAACTTTATAATCATTTTATTACATGCTAATAGGCCAGACTCAGGTCTTAATTTTCAAAATAGGTGTGGTCTGTTTAGCCAAAGTTTTATCTGTCCTATTTCGGTCCCTAATGATAAGTTTACAAGCGAGAAAGAAAAATAAATTCGCGCTAAAAAAACAATAAAAATAAAAATGGTAATTGCACCGTATACGACAGGTACATACAAGGGGCTCGTTTACTGAGCAGCGGCAACACAACCATTATGTCTGAAATCGATCAGCCGGTCGAGGAAATGGCCGGAATTGTTGCATCAGCGTCACCACCAACTACTTTTGAAGCTCGATTTGTCGGGCAGGGGTATAAGCAGGTAATTCCTGACAGCAGTTGTTGGATCTTGCCATACAATACAAATTATACAATACGATACATAATAAGGTTGTAATGGATTAGGTTTGCGGACAGGCGGATGTCTGGGGCGACGGAGTGGTGCCGGAGATGTCTGCACATCTAGAAGGTGCCCTGAACATAAGGCTGGATGGAGTTTACCACTCTCCCATTGGAGCAGATGATGAAACAAGGCCATGGTATGGATCTCCTGCCATTGTTGATCAATGGATACATCACCTGCTTCACTAACACCATAATAGTTACGGGTACCAAATTTTTTGTTGTTATTTAAATTTATTTTCGTTTTTTTTTTCAGTAAAAATATATTATTTTTAACCTTAAAAAGTAAAAAATTTATATATTTATTATTATTATTTTTTTAAATATGTGTTCGATCAAACGAACACACAATTTGATGACTATTATTATATTATGTTCCACTCCATTTATTATTCCATTCTCTCTAAATTACAGTCTTGAAAAGTTGTAGGTTGCTATTATGGTAAGAGGCCATAATTGAATATATATATATATATATATTCCAGCTGATTTAAGATTTCAATTTGAGTTTTGGGGTTGGAAAGAATGAAAATTCGAATTGAAATAATATTTAATAAGATATAAATGATGTAGTTTTTTCTCTTTTTTAATGAAAATTATTTATTTTGGTAGTATATTCAGGTTGTGGTCTTTTAAAATTTTTGAATAGTTATTTATTTATTTATTTTTGAGATCTCTGTTTAATCTTGATAATTATGAAAAAAATCATTGAAATTGTGGAGCTTGTTCTTCCACTATTTACTAATACTAAGGACATGACTCCCAATATATATAACAAAAAATATGTTAGGACGAAATAATTATTATATAAAAATAATACTCTTATGTTCCATTTAAACTTTCTTCATTAAAAATAATCATAGATTAATATCAAATTATTTTTAATTTTTATATAAATTATAAATATACGATAAATTACAAAATTATAAATATATACATAGAATTAATTTATATAAATAAAATATTATTATTTTTTAATTTATTATAAAATTCCAAAAAATCTCTTTCAAAGAAAATTGAGGGAATATATTTTTATAAAAAAATTGTGATATTAAATAATATAAAAAAATAGAAATTATGTAAACAAATCTTTAACCTTAACAAAAATTGATATTCATTTTCTTACACATATTTCACCTTTATTTTATTCCTCAAACATTTCTAAATTACATAGCCGTCTCTTCTTTTACACTCAAATTTGATGTGCTTCTAAATTAAACTTTTATATCTTTCTTCTTTTTTCATTATTGAAATTTGTGCATACAATTTTTAAAAAATATTTTGATTTCTTATCATTTTCACTAGGGTGAGTATTCGGATTTCATCAAATCCAAACCGATTCGAAAATTCAAATTTTTTGCAAAAATCAATCTGATCCGAAATAATCGAAATCCGAACTAAAAAATTCGAACCGAACCGAAAATTCCGAAATTCTCTATATTTTGTTATTTTTTAAAATTTTATATTTTCTTTCATATTTTTATAATTGTTTTATACCATTAAATATATATAAATATAATAAGTAAAAATAAGTATATTAAATATATAATTAATTATTTTTAGTTCTTATTTTAATTAAAATATTAAAATATAATATTTCGAATTTCAAATTAGTTTGAATTTTTAGGAATTTACAAAAGATTCAATCATAACCAAATTATGAATTTCAATTTGGTTCTGATCGAAATTTTGAATTTCGGATATTTTATTCCCCATAATTTTAACTGTGATTTTACAAATCATATGAATTATTTTTATAAAATAAAATAAATTTTATATGATTTTTTAAAATTACATTTCCTGTTCCATCGAATAAAGTATTTTATTATTAATATTATAAAAAATAATATATAAATATATATATATATATATCTCAAAATACAATAGAAGACAAGAGTGAACACACTTATCAAACTTGAGCAAGGTACTATCGAAATCATTCTTGGGCTTTAAGGTATGAACAAAGAAATAAATTGATCTGCCTAAAGGCCCATGATTCAAAATCGAAGACCTGTTTGATGTTCCTCATTATCTTCATTTCTTCGAGGCGACACCCAAATTCTCTTATCCATTTGTTTATCTCCTTCCTCTGCCGCTTCATTTGTCGTTCTTGTCGACACAGACGGGGGCAGCTTTGCTGTAGATTCTCCAATTTAATTTTCGGTCTGCGCAGGACCTTCTCTCCTTCTCCATTGATGCACAGGCGAAGTTCCGCAGTGAAGGGTGGAATTCTTCGTTGGAAAAGTAAAAGATTGGCTGATGAAATGTGTGAGGAGTTGGAAAAAGTACATTCGAGTACGTGTGCGTGACTGAGCGTTGTGGAGGAGGAGGAGGATGACGTGCTTGTTGCCGCAGTTCAAGTGTTCGCTTGACAATTTTGCAGTTAAGGCCAAGTTACATAGCTGTAAGTCATTCTGTTGATTGTTTTTGTTAGATTATGTGATGATTGATGAATGCATATGGTTTATTGTTGATTTTGTTGAACTTTGAATCAATCGAGGATTTGGACGATTCTCTGTATTCGTTGTTGTATATTATTGTGTGTATGAGGAAAAATGAATATGTTTAAGAAAGAAATAATCTAACTAATTCAGTTTTGGAGTTTTGGAAAATTTTGGAAATAATGTTTTGTGATTGTGAAAATATATTTGATTCGATAGTTTCGAGGGTGAAAAAAGTGATGGATAAATAGAGCTTTCAAATAGGTCTCCATCAACATGGATAAGTAATGGAATGAGATTTATTTCACTCTTTACATTTCATTTTCGATTGTTGTCTTCGACCATAGATTTTGCTTTTCGAATGCAGATGAACTGTTGTTCAAAGACCTCAGCAATGTAGGTGGTTAATAGTGGAAGTCCTATTTAGTATGAAGATTGTAAAATTCTGTTTGTAGCTGTTATTGTTCTTCATTTAGTGTCTTCTTATGCATCGAATAATTAGCCTCGATTATGTTCCATTATCTTGGGATGTTTTTAGTTTTCTTTACAGTAAAAGTTCTTCGAAGGGATTTGAACACTAACATAGTCCTGTTTGATTCTTCGATTTATTTCATCCAATGCAAGAAAGCAGTAAGTTGTGATTTCATAGGGTAGTTTATCTTTTCAGTTCATCGTTGGAAATTACATGTTTGGGATTATTTAACTTACTTTGATAATTTAATCAAATGCAGCGAAAAGTAGAGAAGCTATTAATATTCGGGCACATTGTGTCGTGTCAGCTGCATCTGCGCCAACGTTGACGGAAACAGCCACAGGACTCGATTTTGAGAAGCTAAATTTATCATCATTAGAATCCATTCCAGTTTCTGTTCCTGCTGATAGGTTATGGACGACATCTATATCAGCAGCAAAAGCAGCAATGCTTGCATTGGAGAAATTACCTTCTTTAGATACTCTTCCGATTCCAACAGCTGCTGAGAAAGAATTAGCATATGCTCGAGCAGTTGAATCTCTTCCTAAGGTAAAATTCTAAGATTATGGAGATTTGTTTCATCTTTGTTGTCCTGTTTGAGGAAACATGGCGTTCCTTTTGTTCGACTTTATTGTTTAGAGACACATTTCAATTGTCTGACCTTTTAGCATACACTGGATTTGCTTGTCTATTTAAATGTTATCTACCTTCTCTTCGATCAAATTCTAGGTCTTATGTTGGATTAATAAAATTTTAATTTGGGCAATGTTCTAATTGATCTTTATATCAGAAAATGTTCCAACTCTTCTCTTAACCGGACCCCAACTTTTTTCTTTCAAAATATTTTGTAGTGATATTAGCAATTGCTGTGTTCGTTAACTATAACGTAATTGCAGATAGATATTGGGGAAACTTTAGGTAAGGAGATGATTCTCACAAGTGATGGAGCTGATCTCTCTGCCGCTGCATCTGAAGTTGTTGCCTTAGCTAAAGCTGCTGTCAAATTAGCAAAAGATGCAGCCATGATGACCGATCATATTAAATCCATGAAGAATGCTACTTCTGTCGGAGATTCACCTGAATTAGATACTTCAATTTTAGAGAAAAGCCGACTCGATCATCTTGCTATCAGAAGAAAGTCTGAAGTTTCCGAAATTGAGTTGGGAAAATATTATACGTCGTCTACCCCTTCTGCAGGATCTGATGATGATGATATAGAGCCCAGTATCCAAGAACTTGAATTTCTCGAGTCACAACTTTCGAATAGCATAGCTGTCAGATCAAATCGTCGAGGAGAGAGGAAGTTCAAGAGAGCTAGAGCTGCAGAAAAAGCAGCGGCAGCTGTGGCTAATGCGGTGCCTTTAAAATATACTTCTTCAAGCCGGAAAAAACGTCCTTTGATACAGGATATAGATTATTCTGACCCGTTGCGTTACTTAAGAGGTACTACAAGTACTTCTAGGCTGCTCACTGCTTCCCAAGAACAGGTTTTGTCTAAAGGGATTCAGGTAATACCCTTTTCGCCATTTTTAAGCTTCTTATACTACTTCTGGAAAAATATCGAATGCTGCATTATGGATTCTTCGTATTGGTATTGAGACTATACACCAGATTTAAATGTCAGTTGACTTGTTCTTATGCTAGCCCTGCATATTTGTACTTGATCTGTGGAAAGTTTACACCCAATTGATTTGATTATTGGTATTTTTGTTGCATTCGTGTCTTGCCATTGTAATTTTTGCCGTACTTAGCTAAATCTTATTGCGCTTCTTGATGAGTTGCGATGTTTGAACCCCCTTTTGTCCCACATATGAATTATGTGATCTTTTTCATCTGTTTTGTACTCATCTCTAAATTCGATCAAAGAAAACTATAATTTCGTTTTTGATAGATTGATTGATTTCTTATGTCTTGAGTCCCTTCTTGTTCGATTCATGAAATCTTTAAATTTTTTTAATACATGGCTTAGTTTTTATTTGATATGTTCTTTCGACGCAAACTTAGGTTCTAATGAAGTTGGAAAGGCTTCACGAAGAGCTTAGAGAAAGGTGCGGCGGCGAGCCTGCATTTTCCGATTGGGCTGCAGCTGCCGGCATGGATCAGAAAACCTTGAGGGAGCAGATAAATTACGGCGTTCAATGCAAAGATAAGATGATTAAGAGCAACATACGCCTCGTTATTTCGATTGCAAAAAATTACCAGGGCATCGGGATGGATCTTCAAGATTTAGTTCAGGTAGTAATTTGTTTTGTCACTACTTTATCCGACCTACTTCTTACATTCACGTCGACGCATTTTCAGGAAGGATGCCGAGGACTGGTAAGAGGAGCCGAGAAATTCGATGCTTCGAAAGGCTTCAAATTCTCAACTTACGCGCACTGGTGGATAAAGCAAGCCGTTCGGAAATCTCTTTCCGACCAGTCCCGGACAATCCGACTACCTGTAAGAATTCGACGCCTTTTGTCTTATAACGCCCTGATACGTAGGGATGACATACCGAAAATATCGATCAATACCGATACCGTACCTAACTTTTTGGTATGGCTAAAATATATACCGGTACCGTATCGAAAGTTTTGGTATACCGAAATTCAGTATATCGAAACTTTCGTTACGCTACCGGTATATACCGCTTATACCGAAAATTTCAATTTCGGTATAATACTGAAATATACCGCTTATACCGAAAATTTTGATTTCGGTACGATACCAGTATATACCGATTGTACCAAAAATATAATTTTAAATTTCAAAATAATTAAAATAATAATAATAAATATCACCATTCTCCGCCACAAAAATATTATAAAAAAATCAATAAATCTTCAATAGTCTGCATATTTTTTTGTTATGATTTAAAAAAAATTAGTAATTATTATTTATATTAATTAAATAATTTAATAAAAATAATATCAGTACGGCATTATATCGAAATACCCGAAAATACATACCGATATCGTATCAAAATTTTCGGTATTTTCGACACGATATGGTTCGATAAGTCGGTATTTCTGTATGTTTGGTAAATTTCTCCGCCCCTACTTAAACGTAAAATCGCTCAATGTTTACTGCTTCCTTCGACAGTTCCACATGGTCGAGGCGACGTATAGAGTTAAAGAGGCGAGAAAACAATTATACAACGAAAACGGTAGAGATCCCGACGACGAAGAAGTCGCCACAGCAACAGGTCTATCGATGAAACGTCTTTCTGCCGTCATGCTATCCCCGAAGCCTCCGAAATCTCTCGACCAGAAAGTCGGGATAAACCAGGACCTCAAACCCTCGGTAATTCGGACCTCCTTAACACACGTCTTATGTAATATTTACGACGATATTTCACCAGCTCACCGGAATGCTCGATTCTGGTTGTCAGGAAGTGATTGCGGATCCTGAGGCTGAGACGTTGGAGGAGTTGCTGACGAAGCAGTTGATGAGACAGGACTTGGCGAAGGTTCTCGACAGCCTAGGACCGAGAGAGAAGCAGGTTGTAAGATGGAGGTTCGGGCTGGAGGATGGTAGGATGAAGACATTGCAAGAAATCGGGGAGATTATGGGGGTGAGCCGAGAGCGCGTGAGGCAGATCGAAACGAGCGCCTTCCGGAAGCTCAAGAACAAGAAGAGAATTAAGGTTTTGCAGCAGTACGCCGTCGCGACTTAAGACCATGTGCAATGCGGGAACCTGTTCCTCGATCTTGATCTTGATTTCGATTCGGATTTACGACTTCGATCTTGATCTTGATTTTGATCTTGATGTTGTGGCTTAGTATGTCCTGAATTGTGTTGTGTTGTATGTTAGAAACACCCTCTCATTCTTGATCCTTATGTTATGCTTAATTTTAAGACAAAGCAAAGGCAAGAACAAACAATTTGAACCTCCTTTTTTATTCAAATGTAGGTTGTGTCTTTTTGTGTTCTATGACATTTTTTTTTTTCTTTAAAAAATATCACAATAAATAATTTATTATTTTTTTTTTATATTATATTATAAATTTATTTTACATTTAAAATATCAGTATTTAAATTAATCTTTTACTGTTAAAAAATTCAAACAAAAAAAGTGAAACCCTTGGACAAACACACCGTAATTGTTTTGGTTCTTGATACTAATATTCAGACACCATGGTTTTTATTAATTTTTATTATTATTATTGTTATTTTCACAATAAATACAACAAAATACTCCATTGGTCTATGGATTTGTTTGGCACAAAAATGAAGAAATTATCATATTTATTATAAAAAATATATTAAATAATTGAAAAAATACAGTTTAATAAATAGAAAATTAGTAATAAATTAGTTATTATTTATTATTTAATAAAATTATAAATAGATAAAGTTATTTTTTATATAAATAAATTGTACATAAATTTAGTATATAATAAAAAAAAAATTGTATAATCTTTTCACAATTAGAGTTGAGAAGCAGAAGCACCTCAGCAGGCCAAAGCCCAAAATTATTTATTATTATTATTATTATTATTATTATTATGTGGTGATTGAAATAAAAGTGGGTATGGTTGGACTTTTCTATCACTGTGTTTTCATATGTTAATTTGCTGCATTAATACCAAGTGGTTGTGCTGTGTTGCACCAAATTAAAGAAAGAAAAGGAAAAAGGAAAGTTGGGATACTTTTGGTGTGGTTTATTGTCCACGATTAACAAGTGGAAGAATCACTAATTGATGTCTTCTAATATGGATGGTATATATATATATTATTTAATTTAAAAATATTAAATTGGAAGGACACATGGGCATGTAAAAAGTCGTTTTATATATAATACTCCCTCCGTCCCAAATATCATATCCACATTGTCGTTTCTGTCCGTCACACGTACCATGTTACTTTCCTTTTTTTGAAAAATGATTACACACTTTAATCTCATTTTAAATTTTAATTTTTTTTTAATTCTAATTAAACTAATTAATTATCTTAATCTTAATTTATAATTATTTATATTATAAGATAATTATTTTTACTAATACAATATTCTTAATTATCTATTAATTATATCCCTCCTAAAATACCGTGTCTACAGTGTAGCGGACGGACACGGTATATGAGCCGGAGGAGTATAATCAACAAAGATTAGGCCAAAAGTAATGAATGAATGCATCATCTAGAATATTCTTATTCAATATTATTGACCCCCACCGACACTACACACCTCTAATTTATTTATTTACTTATTATTATTATTATTATTATTATTATTATTATTATTATGTTGAAAAGCATGCATGCATGCATGCACATGGAGACCCACCAAACAATAGAAAGTTACACTAAGGTAAATTAATATGGCCCAAATTAATTTAAAATATTAATCTAGCTTTTTATTATTTTGTCGAATGCCTAACTGTATAGATTTGGACAATATAAATGTGAACTTAACCAGCAAACATAATCAAGAGGGCAAATTTGTAATTTACTTACTCCCTCCTCTTTTATCTATGTATTCATTTATTTTTTTAGTATTATATTATGGTGTGGTATGAATAAAATATAAAATACCAAAATAATCTTATTTGTATTGTATGATATAAACCTAATGACATTTGTATAATATATTGTAAGTTGTAAAAATATTTTTAACTTTAATACAAAGTACAGTTACTTAAAAAAAAATAGATACTTTGTTATCAACAGACCAAATTAAAAAAAATTAAAAAAATTATAAATTGTTAACATGATATTGTTTGTTTTGAACCGAACTTGTACATATTAAAAACATATGGTATTGAATATTTGAATTCATGACTTTATAGCTACGAGTCTACCTACACCAAGAATTTATTATTATTATTATTATTATTATTATTATGAAAATTGGTGTTTTGCATAGGTATAATTGTTATAATAATATTTTATATGGAAAATGTATATTGAATATAATAGTCTCACTGTTCCAATATAATAGTCTTGTTTACTATTTTTGTCCGTTCCAAAACAATAATCTTATTTCCATAAATAACCATATCACTATAAAACTATTCATACTTTTTTTTATTACACAATTGCCACTACTTTTTACACTAATACACTCACAAGGGCAAAAAATTCTTTTATGCATACTTTTTACCAATTACCAATATAATATCAATATTCCTTAAATCTCGTGTCCAATCCAATTAAGACTATATTTATGGAACGGATGAAGTATTTGTTATAAAAAAATGAAAAATTATGTAAAAATGATAAAAATTGAAAAAATAAATTGAAACAGAAGGAGTACTATCTTATTTACAACATATTCCTTGTACTTTAAAGAATATTTATCAAAATATTTTTACATTATATATTTTATATAAAATATTAATATTTTTTACTGTCCAATTTAGGTGTTGTCGTAGTCAAATCAAACGACACAAGTAATGAGAGCACATGATAATACAACGTACAATACAATATGCTATTAATTCTCAACACAATAATCATATGTATACCATAACGTGCATTATGTATACCGCAAGACATATATTTTTATGTACACAACATTGTGTTATCTATCTTTCATTGGATGTTGATTTCTTGATATTCGGATATTGATTTAATCAAATCAGCATCTTAACCACTAAGCACTGTCATAAAAAAACAAAATGAATATATATATATATTATATATATAAAAGAAATGGATTTATATCTTCTCAATTGTAAAAAGGTCAAAAGCCAATGAATGTGGGAGGAAAGTGATGAATTTTTACCAAGTTTAGTTTAGTTATTAATATTTTGTGGTTGGCAAAGTCAACTAAATAAAATGTCACATGCAATGATTTTGGACCAAACATACATATATAGCAACATGCATGATGGCATGGGACCTTTCACAATATGTTCTTTTGAGCTTCCAATTTCAACACCTACCTATCCCCACCCCACCCCACCCCACCATAATATATATATATATATATCTTATACACATAGCAAGATTGTCAAATTAATACCAATATATTAGTAGGCAAAACTTTGGGACATTCGGAGTTTGAATGACGTGGTCACGAATCCACCTTCGTATCACTAGATCATCTCTTACCAGTCAAATTGAAATATTATTTTGATCGAACTTTAAACTAAAAAAACTTTTATAGAGCATGATATGTTAGATTTGTGTCAATTTTAGTATATTGACATTGATTTTTCCTTCATAATTTTAATTGGCGTCAAAAGCCGTAAAAATATTTACAAACTTACTGCAATTAAACATAATGGATGTGTTTGTTTAGTGTTTTACTTTGAAATATAATTTTTATGTTTTAACTCAATCTCATCCTCCGTGCTTGACCTATTTGAGTTCGATCTCATCCAAAATCTTCTCTATTCCTTTTCTATTGCGATTAGCCATGGTCGACTTCATCTCCCTCGGTTCTGTTCGATTATGTTTTGACTCAATGTGGTAGGTTTGTTTCTAATTCTTGGGGGGCTTATCGATTATCTCCTTGGTTATATATATATAGGGTTTAATTACTCTACCCTCAATGTATTGTGCCACTTCTATACCGATCAATCATTATTCGCTATGTGTATTGTGCCACTTCTATACCGATCAATCATTATTCGCTATGTGTATTTTTAAAAAATTTTAAAAAAATTAATAAAATAAAAAGTTTAAATACACATGGCGGAAGGTGATTGGTCGGGTATACGATGAACACAATAAATTGTGTTCTTTGTTGGATTACTGTCAAGTGTCCTTCCTTTTTAAGTTTTGTGTTTCTTTTGTTGTTCGTATGTGGGACTGTGTGATTTGGTGTTGAAATTTTTTTATTTTTCTCCTTTGTGGTATTATCTTATTTTGAAGGCTTAGAGTTAGTGCGAAGCGGGTTGTGATATGAGCTAAAGATTGCTATGGAAATTCTTCCAAATATCTCATTAATTAGCACTGTTCTAAATTCCTTTAAATTGATTATTGTTTTGACTAACCTACTATTGGATAATCGGTTAATCGATTATTTATTTAATTGATGAAATTTAATTTATATAATTTTTGAAACTGATTATTCGGTGAGTTGAAATGCATATGGTTTTTATAATGGTTATAAGATATGATTTAGGCATATAAATGTCGGAAAACCACTGGCGCGCCGCTTACCCGGATCAAATAAGTTGAAATCGAAGCTCAAGAAAAAAGAAAGAAAAAAACCCGAAAATACAATTGTATACATGCATTATTGTAATTAATACTCACTTACGTGCATGACATAATGCATGACAATTTTATATTTGCATTATTTCAAGCAAATGAATGCATTACATAAAATCAGTGACGAAACTAACATCTAAATCCCGGTGGCAAAATGTTATAATTTATTTAATATTTAGCTAATAAATTTAATTAAATAATAATGACAGAATTATATATGAATTTAAATAATTTTGGAGGTATAAAAATTAATATTTTTAATATTTAAAAAATCATAACAAATTTGGCTTTGACCCCCCAAGCCCTGGTGTAGTTCTGTCCCAGCATAGAATGCATATGCACATGCTGCATGATGCATTTATTATGATAAATAATGATGCACGTAAGTCTGTGTATTAAGTGGGTTTGAATACTCTAACGTGTGATATAATTTGGTTTGCTTATTTTAGTTTGTCGGAGCTCTGAAATATTGGAGTGCCATCTAATTCGGAGACAAACGTCGTTTTATCTTTGGAAACGTTGTGCCACGAATCGGAGGCACTACCGGGGCGTATTCGTTTTTACAAAAAGAAGTTCTACCTTGATTCGACGTGATTATCGAATTATTTCGATAAATTGATTATTAAAATTTATTTCAAAATAATTATTGTGATATCGAATTTATTTCAATAAGTATATTCTTGCAATATAACATTATTATTATTATTGTTATTATTATTATTATTATATTTGTAACACCTACTAATTTTTTTTTGTGAGAATTATATTTTAGAAAACTCATTGAGATTCAAGATAAAAGAATTCCCAACATAGTTACTATGCAAAATTCCACAGCAAACTTTATAACAATTGAAAAATTTTTATTAAAAAATGATGTAATAGTATAAGATGAACTTGTAATCTTCTTCAGATTTTGTCTGATATACTGGTGCACATTTACACTAGGATCAATTATATAACACCCATCGTATTTTTAGTAAAAATACACAAAACATTCTTATGTTAATATAAAATTTGCACGAAACATCTTTTTGTCCAAAACTGATATTTAATTTTTAAAAAATATCTAAATTACGCGAGTTTTATACAAATAAAAAACGTAAATAATTAAATATTTTTTTTGAATAAAATTAATAAATAATAATTGATTAATCTTTCATTTTATAGTTTTTGAAGATATTGTTATTTGATTTTTATAAAAACTATAAAAATAAATGATTGATCAATTATTTATTTTATTGATTTTATTAAAAAAATTATTTAAGATATTCTACGTTTTTTATTTGTATAAAATTCACGTAATTTAAGTCTTTATTTAAAATCAAACATCAATTTTAAACAAATAGAGTGTTTTATGCAAATTTTATACTAACACAAGAGATATTTTATGCAATAAATAAAACACAATATATTTTGTATATTTTTATTAAAATATAAGAAAATGTTATATAATTTACCATTTACGCTATTTCATATTTACATATATATATATATATATATTCCCACCATTTTATGTTCGATAGGGTGGAATTGATTTCAGGAATTAATACCTTATACGAATTCTGAGCCGTTGATAAGGTGGCCAGCCAGCCATATTTAACCATGGAGATGGACGGATGGGATTAAGAGAGAGAGAGAGAGAGTAATCCACTCTACTCTACTGTTCCCTCTGCTCTACACTCCGATGGATTAATGGAAATGGAAATGGAAATGGATTATGGATCGATCGAAAAGGACAGACACTCCCCTCTGACAGTGAGGGACCGGACAACGAATTGATTTCAACAACTAACTCCCTTTCTCTCTCTCTCTCTCTCTCTAACTTTCCCTTCCCTTCCTTACCAACACCATTAATCCATTCCCTTTACCTCTCTCACCTCTTCTGTTTATATATATATATATATATTTACATTTACATCACAACAACATTCCCAGCGTCGGCAGGGAACTGTGCTGTGCTGTGCGGTGCTGTGCTGTGCGTCGTCGTCTTTCTCTTCTTGTTTTATATATATATATATATATATCTACAGACTACAGTGTGTGAATGTATTCCTGTGTTGAGTTGATTTGATTGGAATGGATTGGATTGAATTTTCCTCTTCCTTTTCTCTCTCACCCTACAAAAAAGTTTGCTTAATTTGTTCTTAATCGCCAATCAACCTTTTCGTGAATCCACAGTAAAACATATATATATATAGAGAGAGAGAGAGAGAGTGAGTGATTTTATGATTTGTTAGTGTTAATTTGTTTGATTGAGCTACTCCTACTCATAATTATGGATGCCGAGGTGAGAGTTAGAGTTAGAGTGAGAGTGGCTTCCTTGCTGCTTTTTTTTCTGTTCGTAGCGCCGCCGTCAGCGACGGCGTCTCCTCGCCGGAATCTTCAACTCCACCGCCACTTGACCCGCCTCAACAGGCCTTCTCTCAAGTCCATCCAGGCCAGTATAATATTGAATTTGAATTTGAATCTGAATTTGAATTTGAATTTGAATTTAATTTGTGCAACAGAGCCCAGACGGCGATACAATAGACTGTGTTCATATCTCCCAACAGCCCGCCTTCGATCATCCCTTCCTCAAATCCCACACCCCTCAGGTACACACATACATACATATATATATATATCATTCTTAATTGATTAATTAATTAGCTATTTAATTGTCATCGTCTTGCATTGTCCGAACTGCAAATCACTGACAGATGAACCCTAGCTTTCATCCGGAAGGGCACCAATTCATCGACGGCAAATTAGCGCTCAAAAACTCATCCATGGCGAAGCAGCAGCAATCAATAACTCAGCTATGGCACATCAACGGGAGATGTCCTCGAGGAACCGTCCCTGTAAGAAGAACACGAGCAGAGGATGTCCTAAGAGCATCCTCTGTCAAAGCTTATGGTAAGAAAAGCCATAAGAGCATCCCCACCCCATCCTCTGCCTCCCCTCAGCCCAACCTCGTCACTCAAAACGGCCATCAGGTAGTCGAAATTCTAATTAATGATTAGTATAAAAACATAAATATTTTATTGAAAAAGTGATAATAAAAAAACTGTTTGAAATATTTTTTAAAAATAAGTTATAGATTAAAGAAACTAGAAGAGAATACGATAAACATAATGACAATTTATTTTGTCAAAATCAATAATTAAATAAATTTAGCGGAGAAAAATGAAAGCGACAATAAATTTGACTAACTAAGATAGTATTAGTTAAGGTTAATCATATGTTTCTGGCTAAATTGCACATAATTCATTGTGATTTTACAAAATTGCATAAAATCTTGTACTTTCAAAACTGCATCAAACAATTTTATAATTCTATTTCTAACCCTCTAGGTGTCTTTATTTAATTGAATTGCACTTTATTTCTAAATCCTTAAAATTATAAATCTATTCATTATTATTATTATTTAATCTCCAAAGAAACGGTAAATATACTCATTTTTCTCTTCTTTTAAAAGTTTTTTTAATATTCTTTCAGAATAAATAAAAAAAATGAATATATTTATAATTTTAGAAGTTTAGATATTAGTATTCTGAAATTCGACGTATGTAGGTCAAATACCGTTAAATAAGCACGATCACGGAAGTTAGACACTAAGTTTATGAAATCACGATAAAGTTTGACGCAATTTTGAAAGTACAAGGAGTTTTGCACAATTTTGTGAAACTACACGCGGATTTTATACAATTTAGCTTATGTTTATGTGCAATCCTTACATTTTTGGTCCCTCATTGTTAGCATGCCATAGCCTACGTCCAAGATGATAAGTTCTACGGCGCCAAGGCGACGATAAACGTTTGGTCTCCGAGAATCGAGCAGCCTAACGAATTCAGCCTGTCTCAACTTTGGATTCTCGGCGGCTCTTTTGCATCCGATCTAAACAGCATTGAGGCCGGCTGGCAGGTTCGTGTAATAACTTTTGTTAAGATATTTTAAATATTCAGTTTTAAATTTAGTAAATTTATATTTAGATTTTATCTTATCTATAAATTAGTTTAATTAGATTTAAGTCTATCGAATTTATTTTATGTTGTCAATTTTGTTGATCGTATAATGCAATTTTCTAATTTTCTTAAAACAATTATCACAACTTTGATCCTACAAGCTTTCTTACATGATATGCTCATGCATTCGATTCTAACGATGATGAAAACAGGTTAGTCCTGATCTGTATGGAGATAACAACACGAGGCTTTTCACGTACTGGACTGTGAGTTTGTCGATACATTGCTTTCCATTCCAAGAAATCGATGTTTTTGTCCCCTTGTTCTTATGTACAGCTAGCAATGTATATAGTAAGGGATATTACATTGTCTGGATTTAATGTTGTCTCGTTGCAAAAAAAAAAAAATCTATCCGGCAGAGCGATGCCTATCAGGCCACGGGATGCTACAACTTGCTGTGCTCGGGTTTTGTTCAGATCAATAACGATATTGCGCTCGGGGCCAGCATCCACCCTATTTCCGGCTACGGCAATTCGCAATACGACATCAGCATACTTGTCTGGAAGGTTGGTTTTTTTTCTGTTTTTTGTCTTTTTTTTCTAATGTTTTTTATCTGGTAGTGAAATTAACATCATGCTGATTTGCTCTAATCAACGGATGAAAAAACAAAATGATAGCACATATTATCAAATAACACATCTGGTGTGTGTTATTTGAACACACATATATTGTTGCATGTCATTGATTTCAACACAAAAAGTATATTTATACAATACAATGCAACACACCACCTATATATATATATATATATATGGAAACTTGCAAAAACTATCCCACTTTTGTCCAGTATTTATTTGCTGGTAAAATATATTCCACATATTTGTAAAATTCGCTAGTTCTATCATTTGGCCGTACATTGGCCGTGCACGGCCAAATGACAAAAATAACAACTTTTGCAAACATGTAGGATATATTTTGTTATAGAAATAGTGAGGTATACATAGAGATATTTTTTTGCAATTTTTCTTTTCTCTCTATATATATATTTGTTGGGCGGTAGAAATTAGATCAATTTAGCATAGTAAGGAATAATTCATCACAAGACGGATAGCATACGATCAAGTTAGAAGCAATTAGCATTTTGTCACAAGATAAATAGCATATCCTATTTTATATAGAAATATGTGTTGTGTGAATTATATATTGTACTGAAATTAACTTATATTATGCTATATAAAATTATATAATGTGTTATGCTATCTATATATATTGTAGTAACAGTTATGTAAGTTATATATTGTATTGTGTTTTATAATTTGCTTATTGTATTACTGTACTGAAATCAGAGTATAATGTATTATATTGATTATACTCAATCAATTCAATGAATACGGTAACCAAAGTGATATGTACTGACCCAGTCAGCATGGTAACCGTCGCCGAATACAAACTTGCTCTTATTACATCCTTAGTCGCGAATCAATACATTCGAATCTCGAATGCCGCAAGATCTCATATAGTTTTCCTACATTGTTCGATCCGCGAAATCTTGGTAGGATCCGAAAGAGGGCAACTGGTGGATGCAGTTTGGGAACAACCATGTCCTAGGATACTGGCCGGGGTTCTTGTTCGCGTACTTATCAGACAGCGCATCGATGATCGAATGGGGAGGTGAAGTTGTGAACTCGCAGTCGGACGGGCAGCACACAACCACCCAAATGGGCAGCGGGCACTTCCCCGAGGAGGGATTCGGGAAGGCCAGCTACATGAGGAATATCCAGATCGTCGACGGGTCGAACAACTTGAGGGCGCCAAAAGATATCGATGTTTTTACGGAGCAGTCGTCGTGCTACGACGTCAAGCTCGGGAAGAGCCGCGATTGGGGAAATTATTTCTACTACGGAGGGCCCGGGAGGAATCCGAATTGCCCGTGACACGATCAGGCTGTGGAGACTTGTCGATGGGCTAGCTCGATCGATCAATCGATCGAATTGCCGGGTTTGTGATGTGTGGGTGTTTGTAGGACATGGTAGGATTCGTTTAGGTATGTTTATATTAGGAAGTTTTGCTGATGATGATGAAGATGGTAATGTTGTGAGAAAGTAAGGTAGAAATTTGAATGTGAAAGCTTGTATTTAACTTAATTCTTGCATCGAACAAATGTGTACTGAATTTGTTCTGATCCGATTTACATTTGTCTTTAGAGTTTGTAGATTTGGTTTTTCAGAGTATCTTTTTGTTACATGCTAATTTGACCAAATAATAAAAATATACATTATTTTTTTTAAAAAAAAAGGCATAATTAATACAAAATACCTTTTAAATTTTTCTTAAATTACGAAAATATTATCTTTTAATACGCCGTACGATCCCTTTCCATTGGGATTGAGAGAGTATATTATGGGTGTGTTCCTTTGTAGAATTTTATCAAAAGTTCTACTATTCATCCAAAATTTTACCTCTAAAAATATCAAATTAAACACCTATTTTTTATTTTTTATATTATACTAAAAATAAATTTTACATTCAAAACATCACATCAAGGCCTATTTATATCACATCATACAACTATTCAAATTCAAAATTTTTACTATTCAAATCCCAACTCAAAATCCAAAGCCCGAGCAAACACATAATATATATATACAAGATAGTATATTTATAACATAATGCATATTTTGTTATAATATACTCTTTTCCGTTCCCCTTGAAGGAGCCCTTAGAAATTTTGTAGTAGAAATTATATATTTGTAATTTATGTAAAAATTAATGATATTTTAATATTAATATTTTATTCTATATGTAAATTGAATTAAATCAGCAATATAGATTGATCAGTATCAAATCCGTGCCCTTTTGAGTAATTAGTTAATTGTATGAAGTTTTGTGATATATATAACTCTTTTAGAGCAATATAACAATATTAAGTTATTACTATTAACACATAATTATGGCAATGATTTGATTGTAATTTAAAATTAAGTGTTATTTAACTTCGTCATGAATTGTATGTTATTTGCTACTATAAATATTAATGGGCTACTTTCTTGATTTTATAAAAATGGGCACAGTATTATAGACATATATCATATGATATAAATAGAAATAGCACATGAAGTGTTAAGTAAAATATTTTATACAAATACATTTTATATATTGAAATCAATTCTAGATGATAATACTCCCTCCGTCCCCAAAATATAATTTTATTGTGTTGGGCAAAAAATTTAAAAAATATTAATATTATATTGATAATTGGTAAAAAATAAAAAATAGTAACAATTGTATAATAATAATGAAAAAAATAGGAAAAATTTTATAGTGATATAATTATTTATAGAGATGAAACTATTATTTTGAAATGAACAAAAATGGTAAACAAGACAATATAATACAAATACAATACAAACTAATACCCAGATGATAATTTAGGAGTATTTTAATCAGTAAATAATTAAAAATATATTAATAAAAATAATTTTATATTAAAATAAAAATAACTAATTAGTATAATTAAAATTTAAAAAAAATTAAAAATTATTAAAATAAAATTAAAATGTATAATACTTTTCAAAAAAAAAAAAAAATGACAATAAGTGAGATACATAAATAGAAATGTGGACATATAAAATGATCACACATAATCCTATAACTATAATCTTAGTATGCCTGCCTTTACTTTTAATGGTTAGGATAGATTATATTATTATCCAACCTGGTGAGATTAAGGAAAAACAGCTACAATAATATACTAATTAAAAACAATTAATTTATTTAAATAAATAGAATTAATTTGTCTCAAATACTATTTGTACTAAAATTTATATTTAATCAAACAAAATAAACATAGTACTTAATTAATCACATAATTATATAGTAATATAATGTAAATTTCACCTTATTTTTTCATTGCCAAGAGAATACAGTAGTGACCTAAATAGCAAACATGAATAGAAATCCAAAATGAACACAAGTTAAATTCATGAAAATAAATAAATAATTAATTAGATAAAAGTCACATACTAGTACTATTCACCTCATCTCAGCCATAGCTATAGAATTCATTCTACTGGTAAGCTCCAGTTACCAGTTATCCATAAACGTCCTCAGTTTTCACAATTTTGCAGTGACAATTAACTGAGAGCCACAAAAAAGATTAATTTCGACTCGAAACCACAGAAGAAGAAGAAGAAGATAAGATGCCGACGACGACGATAACGACCAAGACCACACGGCAAAGGAAATAACTGAACACATCAAAAATATAAAACAAGATCGATACACAGCACAATCCCCTACCCCGATTTCCTCTGCCTCATCAAATGTGATCGAGCGCAATTACAACATATAACTTAGATATATCATCTATTACCCATGCCCCCTCGTGCCCAAATTACCTTCACCGAGGGACAGGATTATCAAGAAAAAGACATGAAAGCAACTCAATCGATATATGCTTACCTGTCAATTCTACAAGAAGTAGTCGGGAGTTCTTCGAGTCACATCCGGTTCCCCTCTTCTCGGGGCTGGCTCAAACTGTAGATTATATGTTAATCACCATATGCACCAAAATAGAGATCGTATTATTAATTGAAATAAATAATTTGACGAGGAGAGGAACAAAGGCTCAACCTGGATAAAGGTATGCTCTCTGCAATCATCGACTTCCAAAATGGACGCCATGTTTCCACAGCGATAGCAATAATTCGGTGCGCTGAAGATAGTGACGACCTTTTGTTCCTGTTGTAAGCGGTCAGAATCAGACACAAAGTTACAAGCACTAAATTTCGGGATATTGTATTGTTAAAGTTATATATTGCAACAATTACATGGGCCCAATTGTATCCTTCCATAACCAGCTGATGGGCTCGGGCGATGAGCTTCAAATTGTTTGTGTGGTTGAATTGCTCGGATATGTCCTGTGAACATATAATTTGCACATGCTTAATACTTTTGACAAATTAAGTAAATAAATTAAAGAAAACTACTTAAAAGTGAGAACTAGTGCCTGGCCAAAAGTGTATCCGGCACCACGGGGTGAGATGCCCCAACCACATCGATCATCAGGATCAGACCACAGAAGATCACACATCGGACCTTCGTGTGGAACTTCTTGCACACGATCAAAGTTTCGTATATTATCAAGGGTTTCCACAGACGGGGACAATCCACCATGCAGACAAAATATTTCCGACTCAACCTACACCACATATTCATCACCTCAGAATTCAGACAATAAAAGTACTTGGTTAAATAAGAGTGAATTCATTCCATTCGGGGTATAAGACATGGATCAAGAAAACCAAAAATTAAATCCTGACAAAGATTGTGTAAAACAAGAAGAAATATCTATCCACAGCAAAGATGAGACTAAAAAAACTGTAAAGCTTACTAACCAATGCAGTCAGAGGGAAATAGTCAAACAGATCTGTAAATATCTTCCATACATTAGCATTTCCGTACCTACAACGTTGATGAGATTTTAAAGGTATCAAATATTAGAAAGATGCTAAAAAGATTAAGAACTACATATGTTTCAGGCAACAGTGCAACATAAGTAGAAAAAATCAACTTGCTTAAGTATAGTGGAACATCACAATAGAAAAATTATTAGGATTGGAACATCTTTAGATTGTGTGAGTAAATGCAAATATTACTAAAATCTGCATCTGTTGTTATATTCTCCACTAAACTTTCGAATATCCCATTATGAAAACCTTGTTTAATCAAATTTACAAACACATAAATCAGAACCCTCTTTAGAGAGTGGAATCTCCATTTACAGTTACACTTTATCATAACAATCCTAAGCCTCTTCAGATATACAAATATAACAAAGATGAACGAACTGGTAGCAGACCAAAGGTAACAAAATTACTCACTTCCGCAAGCATTCATCATAAAAGCCATAAACCTGAGTGATCTGCATGAGAAAATAAATTATTGATAAGTTCAAACAATGGCACATGATATATCACTATTTCAAAAACTAAGAATTAATATTATACATTCGAAACAAGGCAGCGGGAAGGTTAAAACCGTATAAATCATTGGAACTAACAAACTTAAACCAATCAAATATATAAATTATAAGATATTAATAAGAGGAAGGTTAAAACCATTCAAAGCAGCTTGTTTGTCAGAACTTGAGCTTAATTATTCCCGAACATACTAGTTAGAGTAAAAGAAAATTTTAAACACAACTATCATGAAAGATATAAAACAAAAATACCTGTCTACTTTCATGGTTTCCTCTAAGAATTGTGATGCGCTGAGGATAGCGCACTTTTAGAGCCACAAGAAGCTGCAAAAATAACAATCTTTTAAGCATCTTCAGAGGCAATCACTTTATGGTGACTTTGCAGTACACAAGCAGGCAGAATGGTACTGCTGCCCACTGCCAGAGAACCATCATTTCAGAAGAAACTAATATGACAACTGGAACACATGCAAGTTAATGAAAATGCCAAGGAAAATGTCGTCCAGACAACACTTACAGTGACAGTTTCAACGGAATAATAGCCACGATCAACATAATCTCCCATAAAAAGATAATTTGTGTCCGGACACTGCCAGAAAATATTGAGGTTACATTAGAGCAGGCAATTATTTAACAAGTTTGCAGTAGATATAATGAATGAAATTAAATTACAAAAATCAATAATAAGACATACTGTGTGGGTGAAAGCAGAGAGTCTCAACTTCATCAAACATAACAAAAAGAGGGTGTAAAATCAACTTACTATTATATATCCTTGCACATGACCTTTATAAAACCTAATTACATTTAGGGTGTGTTTGTTTGAAGGATTTTGGAGAATTTCCACTATTCATCCAATTTTTTCCCCCAAAAAACATCAAATCAAACACCTATTTTTCATTTTTTATATTATACTAAAAATCAATTTTACATTCAAAACATCACATCAAACCCTATTTATATCACATCATACAACTATTCAAATTCAAAATTTTTACTATTCAAATCCCAATCCAAAATCCAAACCCCCAAACAAACACACCCTTAGATAACTAAGACTATTAACCTAAACAATTACAAAAATAGTGAAATACCATAATATGCTGGATGCAACAAACATGAAAGGTAGTTCTCTTTAGTATATTAAAAATGACCAAAAATGTTTTTGAACTTAAAAACCATCATAGACCCACCCACATACGCATATTTGTGGTGTGTGTGTGTAGTTAAATGCTAATAATAGGCCTCAATTTGTTCCTATGGAAAAAAGAATTCAATACAATGAAACAAGTCCAAATACAAGCATGTTTGTCATACGCAACTACAATACCTTCCCTCCAATGCGGAAAAGTTCAGCTAGATCATGAAACTGTCCGTGAATATCACCACATATTGTCACAGGGCTTTTCACTGGCTGCATACAGTAACAAAAGAAAATGTATATATAGTGCCTGAAGAAAATAAGTAAATCTATACACCTCAGAAAATTGAAAGTGAAATATGTCAGCAGGTAGAAGTCCTTGATGTGATATGACAATCCAAAAAAATTCATTTGTGAGAAAATATACCGTTTTATACTGTAACATTACTGTACAAAATATGTTTAAAATGAAGTACCCTAAAAAATACAGGGTGTTTAGGTGTTTGGTTCCAAAGACAGCAAGTATTAATATAATTCATGCTCTATCAGGAATAAAACAGATCCGAAAGTGATACCTGAACATTACTTTCCTCCATTAAGATCTCTTTAGCCTTCTCACATAAGGCCCTGACCTATACGTACAAAATGCGAACAGGATCAGTTTTTCCCATTTTGTGTCCAGAGATAATACAGAAAGGGAAAGATTATAATCAAAGATAGAAGAAAAAGCACAAACAACAAGACCATAGTAAATGATTGATCACTAAGAGCTACAAACAATTAAGAATCGTATCAACTTATTTCTATAATAAGCTACAACTACGTTAACAAGGATCTCCCAGAATGTAAAGTTTAAACATGTTTCACACGAACAAAAACCTCTACAACTTTATAAGCCAACCATGTTTCTACATCTAAAAATGGTGCACCAAGCTGTGTGTCTTGATGGGATTGGTCCTTTTTTAGACCAAAAGTGTCTAATCAACAAGTTTCAAATTACGATTTTTGTTTCCATGTCTGCCTAAAACAAAAAAAAAGAGTCTAGCAATGAAAATCCAGCTATTTTTCTCAATACTACTGTGAAATGTCGATGTTAAATAATTGTAGACAAGTGGACAAATCGGAGCCAAGAATTATCCATAGAAACAATCAACAGCATGCACAGACATGGCAAAAAATCATATAAGATCTTCAGTTAATAAGTTGAGGTCACAAAAAAGGCAGCTGTATATCATATAACACTTTTACTCAGGAAAGGGACTTATCCAAGCAATCACTCTCCACATTCCTCCCCAAGATTTTCTTGCCCAATTCTCAATTCTCTAATCAACTAATACACATATATGCCAATCCCCACAATTAATTAGCCAAAGATGACAAATCTCGCTCTCATGCCTCCAGATTAAAGTAATCAGATAAGCCTCATTTTTCCTTATTTTTTTAGGGCAAAAACAGATTAATCTAGGTTTTCCTCTCCCAACTTATTCAAGGCAATTGCTTTCACCCCCATCATGAAAGTTTTCAAAATTTTTAATTATGGCTCGAAAATATGCTGTTCTCACAGAACAATAGACTGTAGACCCAATTTCCTATCGCCGCACAGAAAACCCTATTCACTTGTGGTAAACTAAAAATTCCGTCACCATAACCAATATATATCAAGGATTAGATGAATCCGACACAGCAGATTACTAAATTCACTACATCTTCCAGATCTGAACAAACTCGAGCAGAAAAATAGGCTAAAACTAAAGAGATATATATATATATTTATTTATATAGCAGAAAAATTTCAAAAAATAAATAAAAATAAATAGAGAGAACCTCGGGTTCAGACAGAGGCTTGCACTGCATGAGCTGAGTAATCTGCTCGTCCAGATTCCCATTCGTGCTTGCAGCCATCAGATCCGCGTTCATCTTGCTTTATTCTCCGCCTGCTTACAGATCCGCCGCCGCCCCTTTCCTCGATTTCAGCCAAAAGAAACCACCTCAGAAACACAAAGCAGGAAAGTATCCACGCTTGAGCAAAGTGCAAATTGGCAGCGGAGAGATGCAGAGAGAGAGAGAGAGAGAGAGAAGAGGAAAGGAGAGGAGGGAACTAGCGGAGGAGTGTGTGTGAGAGTGGAGGGAGAGAGAAGAGAGAGAGAGAGAGGAGAGAGAGAGGAATATATGATGTGCTGAGCTGTTGCGATTTTTCAAATTTATTTATTTATTATCCTCGATATAAATAATTTTTAAATTAAAAAAAAAAAATAACAACAAAATTAAAGGTTTTGTGTTTTTATTATTTTCAATTGAAATTAAAAATATTTATCTGATATCTTTTTAATAAAATATATTTTTTTATAAAATATTAAATTAAAATATTATTTAACAATTTATTCAAACCACCAACTCAAAATCAACGCTGTTCATTCCAAATCATTCATGAATAATAGTTCATGAATTACTTTTGCTGACAAAATATTAATTAAATTAAAATTTTAAATCAATATATAATTTTAAATAATTTTATACTATAACCAAATAAAATAAATTCAAAAAGTATGTTTGGAGTTGAGTTTTTTTATTAGAATTTTAATTTAAATATACTATCTGTCCTGCAAGAAGGTTGTCATGATTTTTTTCATATTTGATATTTGAATATTAATTATTATATAAATCAAAAGAAAAAAGCAAAAATACGTTTATTAGTATTTTATAATACATATACAATGATATTTTTCGAGTAAATTATTCAAATACAAAGAATATTTTTAATGTTAAATACACTGACGCAAAAATCAAATGGCAACCTTCTTGTCGACATTATTCTTCAGTAAGTCTCACATCTCATGTCACTTTTATTTTTTAAAAAATGACTACACATTTGTAATCTCATTTTAAAATTTTTAATTTATAATTTCTTTAATTTTAATTTAACTACTTAGTTATAAACTTAAGTAATATGGTATATTTTTATTTAGAATTATATAAATTAAATAATAAAAAATTAAATTTAAAATTTAAACCAAACACAATTTTTGTAAAAAGAAAAAGTAAGAATTTATTTATTTTATATTTTGATTTGAAAATATATTTTTTATACCAGATATAAAAATTTATATAAATAAGTACAAAAATAATTGACGTATATAATATATTAATATTTTTAAAAAATATATGTAAATTTTTTTCACAAAACAAACAAACTCTAAATAGTTGCACTATTTTTAGTTTTATTTTAATTTTTTTACTATTTTATTTTATTTATTTTTCAATAAAAAATATGTTTTTTCTCAACATCAACTATTATTAAATTATTACTCAAATCTTCACACACATATATATATATATATAATTCCCTAAAACAATTTGAGTAAAAATAAACTCGTGTTTAGGGTGGTGCACGTCATTACAATATATATATATATATAAATATATAAAGAAATTATTTTATTAATTATAAAATTTTATAAAAGTAGTTTTAGAAAATTGTGGCTTTAAAGGTGAAATAATTTTTATTATTTTAAAACATTTGTAAATGAATATTAAAATTGATTGGATTTTGATTTGAAATTGAAATGATAATTAGTTTTAATATTATTTAAATATAATATATATATAAAAAAAACTAGACATAATAAATAATATTTTTTTATTTAACACACAAATATTTTTATTTTTATTCAAAATAATGCAAAGTAAAAGAACAAATCCCCAATTTATTAAAAATGTTTCATTAAACATTTTTTTTCATCACATTATTAATTTAAATAGTTTTTTCTTCGATATTTATCTTTTTTTACATCGCATGCAAATTTTTTATAAAAATAATACTAATAATAATTTATTCTATATAATATTTATATTTAAAATAAATATTTAATATAATATTTACTAAAAATGAATACTTACCCCTATACATATTTATTTATAATAAATAATTTTATTTTATTACAATTCTATTACCTTTAGTTTATTAAATAATAATTAATTTGATACTAATTCTTTTTACTCACATTACACATTTTTATCAATCTTTTAATAAATATTTTATAATACCACATTTTTATGAAGATACAAACTTTGTTCTTTCAATATATTTTTTAACACGATTTTTCAAAAAAAAAATTAATACATTAAACACATTCGTGTGTTTGTTTTGGAATTTGAATTTTGAGTTAGAACTTGAATAATAAAAATTTTAAATTTGAATAGTTGTATGATATGATATAAATAAAATTTGATGTGATGTTTTAATGTAAAATTGATTTTTAGTATAATATAAAAAAAAAAAATAGGTGTTTGATTTGATATTTTTGGGTTGAAAAAATTAGATGAACAGTGAATTTAAAATTCAATCCCCAAACAAATACACCAATAAAATCTTTTTCCTTTCAACAATTTCACAAAAACAAACACACCTATAATTTTATTTTTCTAATTTTAAATACAAATCAATAATATATAAAATATTTTTTAATAAAATATCATATCAAAAAATATTATTTAAACTAAAAACTCAAATTTAAGTTAAAATCAAACCACCAAAGATCTCCCTTTTCAATTTCCTATTATTTAATTATCACAATTATCAAATAAAAATATACTTCCTCATGCCAATTGAAATGTTATCATTTTCGTCAATCCCAAGGTTATCAGGTACTAAACGTAATAAATACTCTTCCAACTTACACTGTCATTATTAGTAATAGGGGTATTTTCGCTTTTTTCACTACAATTCATTGTAATACTAATATTTTAAAATTTACGTATAAAAATAAAACGGCAACCTTGCACCGGGACGGCTAGAGTATATATTTTTCACAAAATATCTTATAAAAACCACTTTAATCCAAAAAAAACAAAAAATCAGCAAAAAAAACACAGCCTTACATTCACCCTGAAAACTAGTCGAGAAACTGAAATAAATGAATCCTTGAAACTAACAAACAAGTGACAAAAAGACACCAGACATTCTACCTTATAACAAAAATACCAAATCATGAACCAAAATACTCACAAATCACATACGTAGAATTCATAAATTCATTTCAGACAAATCGTTACAAAACTAAAAGTTCAAGAATGCTCACCTGCCCTCCCCTACGCCAATAATGTATCCGACAACGACGTCGAGAACGCCTCCGGAAGCTTCATGCCCGGTGTTACCATGATCCCGACAACCGAGCAGACGACCGGGACTAAGCCTAGACTGTATCTAGTAATCGAAAGATGAGAACTCGGATGATCACAATTGAAACTTTCCATACTCGGCCCTGCACAGAATAATCAATGTCGTTGTCTAATCAATCCTTTACTTTATTTCGCTACGTCTACGGCAATATGGTGTCCACTTCATAACATGATGGAATTTTATACTCCCCCGTCATGTAAAAATAAAACTATTTGATTTGAGCACGAGTTTTAATATAGTATGTACCTTTTACCTTTTTATAGTCCGGAGAACTGAAAAAGTAATTAAAATGGTAAAAGGTAATATGATTTTTTTTGCTAAAAAGGAAAATGTACCTATTTTTTTAGAATGGTTTAGTGTTAATTTAGAAACTTCAGCACCGTGCTGATTTTTCAACACCCATAATATATACAAACAACATGTCTTTATTACACACAACACAGAAAATTCAGCACGGTGTTGATTTTCCAACACCCATAATATATACAAATATATATTCTTATTACATAGAACACATGTGGTGTGTAATAAAGACATGCGTAGTTTGTTCATAATTACATGTGTGCGGTATAAGAATATGTTATGCGCTAAAATCAACTATTGTGTGTTATATGAGATTCTTACATGTCTTGTTAGTTCATGTATTATATTTGTATTATATGAACATATACAATGTGATGTCTGTGATACTGCATTCTGCCAAAAAACACACAACGTGCTTTTCAGCACACTGCTGAATTTTAACATTATAACCGCCGCCATTTTTCTTATAACTAACAAATAAGGAAAGCCGAGAGTATGTTTTAGTGACAGAGTATTATTTATACTCACTTTGGTATGATTCGAGCGCGCTTAGAGCCAGCCCCGATAGTATCTTGTCCATAAAGCTGAGCGAACCATAAACAAATGCGCATCCGTTAAGTTCATAACCTACTAGAAAGCTCTGCATGCCGGTAGAAGAAACCTGTTGTTTCCATGAAATCGAATTACACTTGGGGATTATTTCCGAGTGACATTTTTGCAGAAAATAATATAAATTTACCCCTACCATCATCAAGGCATTTGCGGCACCAACCACTACAGATAAAACATACATAAGGGGATTCATGGCAGTCGGCAGAAACAGGATTCCTATACCAGAAATTATCCACAGAATGCCTCCAGCAGTGTACACGGCCTTCAACCGTCTGCCTGTCCAGGAGAGTTCCTGCAGAACAAAATTAGTTGAAAGTAGCTTTGGACAATGTATATGTGTATGTATATAGGTTTATGGAGCCATAAAGGTGAGGAAGAGTCGAGCAAACCTGCAGGAGGATCAACATAATGAAACTGGAAGTACATATGACAGCAGGAACCTAAAGCATGCGTGCAAATATCAAAATCGATTGTTAGAAATGTTAGCAAAGAGATATAGCGGAGAAGGGAATATACGACGAATGAGGTACCAAAGCTTTGGAGAATTGAGACATTTGCAGATCATAGATGACATAGAATGCAATGAATGATTGTGAAACATTTGCCACAAGTCTAGTGAGCACGTAAACAAGCGCTACTTGATGGTACAGCAGCCGGCTAAACCAGCAAGTCCATGAAATTCGGGCATGTCCTTTTTCGCGGGCTTCTCTTTTCAACCTGAGAGAAATGAATAAGTAAAGTTTCTTGGATCATGGATTTCAAGTGATTATGTGTGTTAAACTACCTAGGCTCTTCCGTGCCGAGATGAAATAAGCCCACGAAACAGCATCCGAGAAAGATCGATGCATATGCTATCCAATGGAACTAAACAAATGGATACACAGTTAAGCAAGAAAGTGAACTCAGTCGGAAATTTTGAGATGGGAAAATGCAGACATGTTATGTATGCACCTGATTCTCGACATCAAGAATCTTCTTTCCCGGCTTAATGTTGAACACCACTAAAGCAAGTCCATATACACTAAGATTTGCAACCTTCCGGAGAACATTTGCAGTTAAGGAAACATCATAATAGGATATTATCGAATAAAAAGGATTGGAGAAATTGGAGAAATTCTAACCATTGTAAAGGCGTTACGGCAAGTACTTAACACAACCCTGCTCGTAGAATTCAGAGTGATGCAGTTAACCATCGACCTACAAGATGAGGAACCTCTAATTCGATCATTTTAAGAAATTAATTAACAAAAAAAATCTTGATTACATGTGTGATACTTGAGTAGCTGCCCAGCCGACGTTGAAGACTGCAGCCGAAAAGCTATAACTGATGGTTTGTGTAAAATGAGAATCAGATCCAACGATTTTGCAAGGCAAGCAACCGCCAAAGACTGAAGAGAATGAAACAGCAACTAAGAGGGATCCCACGCCATGCCAGATTTTAAACTGCCCGTATCTGTCTATCTATTCATAATTAAAGCGAAACAGATTAACATCTGATAAGTGTCTGTATTGTTTAGATCATAGATGATATGCCTTGTACCAATTCGCCAGCAAATATGGTTGTGAACCCGTCAGCAATTTGACCAGAGAGCATGACCACAGCAGCATTTCTGTGGAAAAGGGAAAAGAAAGAAGTAAGATAAACCCGAACAAGATTCATACAGGATTCCAAGATTTGTCTTTGCAAAACAATACAGGATTAAGGTACTAAGAAGCAAACCTCGGAGGCAATCCAATGTCTGTCAAGAAGACTAATAGATACGTGAACCAACAGGTGGATGTTATATCATTCAGCATATGCCCGACCCCATAATAAAACACAGTGAACCTTCCAAGTGGCTTGGAGCATGATTCTCCAGCATCCCCACTACCCCCTGTCATATCTAAAGATATCCGTATTCCTGAGATCCTACTAGTTACAAGTCATCCCCTGTTGTTCTAGAGCTAGACAGATAACAATACTCATTCTTGAAATGATAACACAAATGGCTTCCACAATCTATATAGAATACTGTTTAATTGACAAGATCAAGCTCTAAACACTTAAGAAACAGTACAAAGATAAAGCAATTCGATCTCATCTCATCTTTACGATGCGTCCACAGACACGCGCACACACATAAAAATAGACGAAACAACAAAAGGATGCCTGAATTGATTACACATATTGCAAGTGCAAATAACAACCATGTATGTCAAAGATAGTAACTACTACATACCTCTTCGGATGATTAAGCAGAGCCAATCTAGCTTTTGGTCTGCAGCATAAAGTGTTCTCTTGAATAGGGGCGGGAATGTCGAAATAGTAAAATGAAAAGAAAGAAAAATAAAAAAAAGGAGCACTCTCTTCAAATTTTGGAAGTTCTGGTGAACCAAAAGTAAACCACTTCTCTTAAATGACTACATAACAGAAATGATAATCCTAAGTTGAAATAAGATTTTACTTATTTATGCTACATATGGCTCTCTTCTCTGTCTTCTACATTTGCTGGGAAAAACTAACCCAGAATTCCATTAATTACGCTGTTGCAGCAATATGTTATATCACCAATACAAGCTTAAAAGAGATGGACATGTTATGATGTAACGATGCATATATTATTACTGTGGCAATTCTTTTTCTGAAGGAAAACCGACTAGTTTAGAATTTTAATGGACAGCTTCACTCGTGAACTTTGTCCCTTTGTTTTGTTTTTTCCAAGAAGTAACCAATACCAATGTAATGCAGCATCAGTTTTTTTGCAGTCTGAATGTCTGAACTTTGATTGTTTACTTTGTTTGGTAGCCCACAAGAACAATCAAACGTGCGATCCCAAACTTTTCTGCAGACCTGCACTGCTGCACAGAATCCAACATGTCAAAAATTATATATTAATGTATTAATATGATAGCAGCTTACTATTTTGGGCAAACTTATAGCTTTAACTCTGGGGAATCGAGCAATGGCAGTCTAGTTGAAGATATGGAATGGCATGAGCCCCGTATGCCAGATTACAGTCAAGTGGGTTGATATCAAAACCCAATCCTTAAATCCCTCATAGGATAGGCTCCAGAAGAGCATCCTCAAATCTGTTGTCCCATCATTTGTTCATATATTTAAATTAGGATACAAATGGAACTTGGAGAATGAAATTCTTATGATAGATGGCAAGAATTCTTTAGAGCTCAAAACTTCAACACTGATGTATAATTTTCCAACATTAAGCGCTTTGAATAACATTACAGTCACATATATGGTCATGCATATATAGATGCCTAAACAGTTTGTGATAGCTCCTCAACGGTTCACTACGAAGCAGATTTAGGTACTGGAAAGAAATCTGCCATGTTTCTTTAGCCCAAATAACAGCTGTTTTCCCATTTGATACCTTCAGACAGCATAGAATGGTCCCTTGTTCTGGTCTCTTCAGTTCAACGTAAGCAAGATGACAAAGAAAACGAGGATGACCCATAGCTGAAAATATGTTGTACAGGACTTAGCATTGGCCATTCATTTTTCTGGTTGCAACCTGAACTTGCACAGGCTGCAGTTTCTGCAGCAGGTACAAGCCGACAACTCTTCTGCGAGGGGTTATGAAGTCATGTTTCTTTGTCATAAGGTCTTTTTCTTCAAGTAGGTAATTCACAAACTTTCATCTACATCATTTCTCCTAGATTTAGCTTCCAGTTTACTCTGATTTCCTATAGCCTCAGATATAGCCTTTGGCAGCCAAAATCCAGGCCGCTCAAGAAATGGTGCTCGATCAAGGACCAGAGGTTCCCGAAGAGTAATCAGGATGCCACTGCATGTCCACAGTGTTAAGTTCGCTTCGCCTTTCAAGCCTAAAGAGAACCAACCCAAGCCTGCAATTGCAACATCTATGCTGTTCACATCCCAGCTTATTCCAGATGCCTTTATGTCTCGCTTTACCCAATCACCCAATTCAGAAACACGTTCTACACCAATTGGCGGCTGAAACAAAGAAACAACATAAGAATCTGGAAGTGTATTTTAAGATCACATATCATAGACTAGATCATAATTTCTTGATTCTTCATTTAATATTTCTATAATATGGACAAGTGGCAAGACGGTTAAGAATCTGGAAAATATTTAAAACTGTAGCTATTGGGGGCACCTTCAACTCATTCCCTTTGCAATAATTTGCTACATTTAGGACTGTAGAATCACATTTCTAGGTTATATTCAGCTTAGATAAATTTTATGGAGTTGAATCTGGAAATAATTAAATTGGAACTATATGGGAACACTTTCAACAGATTCCCTTGCTGCATTTCAGACAGTAGAATCACTATTTTAGGTTATATTTATCTTATAATAGAATCTAATCTTATTAGGTGTGTCAGAAGCATTACCTGCAATCTAATTCCAGAGTGCTTGCTCTTTATCTCATCAGCATTTTCGATCTTTCCCATGTGCAGAGATACACTCGGAGATGCCCAGACTGTGACATATATGGTATCTACAGAAGCCTTGTCAAGATCCAGCCTAGCTAGGGTGCCGACATGAATAGCTTGACCAGCCTGCACATAGTTGAAGTCCACATTAAACCCAATTGCAAGGGAAATATGACTAACAAAACTAAAGAAACCATTAAAAACAAAGGAAAAGAAACAACAGCATTTAACTTTGAGATTGGCCTATGCAAAAATCAACCAGAATTTCAATCTAACAGCTTCTTTGCCAAAATTAACTAGCCTATTATTGTGGCAAAAAAGGACTGAAAAAGAGAAGCAGCATGCATAAAAGAATAACATGGAAGTAAATAGAACTGAATCATGCATCCTCAATAACTTGCCTTTATCCTGAATGTTCTAGGTTGAAGCTCTTTTCTTATCTCAATCATTTTCTGCTCATCCCGGGTCAATCTCATGGACATTAAGTATGGGTGCAGAAGGCCGGGGGTATCATACATCTTTGCCTTTGCAGGCAAAATCCCTCCAATTCTCACAATCCCAAGTGTTGTCCCCGGAATAGGAGCTTCTGTAAGCTTAGCAACCTTCACCCCTTCTTTTCTTGAAAATGCATTTATCAATGTTGACTTACCAGCATTTTGAGCACCAATCACCCAAACATTACCTCTTGGCCCAGCTAAGCTCTTCACAAATGCCAACAAGTTTCTTACACCCAAATCTTTCCTGGCACTAACCAAATACACCGCACTTAACTTAGGCGCCCCATTTTCTTTAGCGCGATGACGAACCCATCTATCTAACCTCGTAGGAGAAACCTGGGAAGGAAGAAGATCGACCTTCGTAGCAACAAGAACAAGTTTTGGCAACTTTTTGCTTCCACCTTTACCTTCTGCTAGCGCTTTGAATAAGGATGCAGCTGCACGTTTAGGGAATGATCCATCAAAATCGACACAATCAACCACCATTACTACCACAGTAGCATCAGCCTTACCCGTCGGCTTCATTAGCCTCATGCTTATCAATCTATCAAAATCAAAATCAGGTATCAAATTCTCGGCCACTTGATTTTTCACTTGGCCATAATTCCTCAACGAGTGACACCTTGCGCATACAGTCACCTCCTCCTTCTCTTTTAAAGCCTCCCTTGCCATTCTCTTCCTTTCTGCCTTTGAAATCCTCTTCAGTTTCTTCTTTTCCAATGTCTCCTCTGTAATGTTTCCATACCCAACTCCAGCTGGAGCAAATCCATCCAATTCCTTCAAATATTCATCTTCTTCATCCTCAAACTCTGATCCCCAATCTTCTGAATCCCAATCAATCCCATCCTCATTATCTTCTTCCAATTTTCCCTCAATGTCATCCCCAAAATCATCACCACCTTCCTCCAAGTCTTCAAAATCATCAAAATCCTCATCCACCATATCCTCCACATTATCTCTTGATTCCTCATTTTTGTCCAATTTTCTCCTCTGGAAATACCCAAGAAGATTTGGATTCTCATCTTGCATAAACACACCACAACCAGGGCATATAAGCCTATATTTCTCATCCTCATCCCTTCCTTCACTTGAAACTAAGCCTTTATCATGCGAGTTCCTCCCATAATTTTTCTCAATGATTGCTCCTCCTTTGCTGTGTACTGAGTACAAATTGTTCTTGATTAACTTTTCTTTAATTCCTGTAAAGAAATGAATTTGGAATTTTAATTCATAATGTAACAAGTAAGAAAATAAGCATCGTTAATTTACCTGTAAGAAAGTGAGAGTTGGGAAAAGGGCGAACGTCAGTTTTCTTGCTCAAAGATAGCTTGATAGCCAGATTGATTGCACCCGAAGAAAAAGATGATCCAGACACTAAAACTGCCATTGGTAATTCTCTTGCCAGGGTTGTCTTTGTAAAATCAATTCTAAATACAACAATGCATATTTCTTAGGGAACGACTATCAATTCACAGCCAATAATTACAATACAGAGAAAACATATTACCTTAGCAATCGAAAAGGCAAAACTCACATCTCTGGAAGACAAAAAAATGCCGACGCAACTTCAAAAGAAAAGGTCGACTTACTTGCACCTGCCATAAGCGAAATCTTTAGTGTGTCCCAAACTTCAACAGAATCAAGAAAGATAAACCTGGGTATTAAAATTTCTATTTATGTCAGTGAATAACCATCACTTTACGAACGGATAATCATAACAAAAACATTTTTCTATTGCACATTTCACTCTAGCAGTTGTTTTGCACATAGCGCATCAAGAATGATGATGCTACAATCTAGAATAATCCAAATAGATGAATTGTACGAAGTTAGCAGTTTACTATCAATTAATCCGAAGGATGTGACATTGTTCTTGAAGAAGAAGAGAACAAACCTCAACTATTTCACCAGCAGTGACGACTTCAAAGGTTAAAGCAGATTTTCAGGTATCCGAAGACGAAGAATGCGACGACGGAAGACGAGGAGGAGGAGGAGAACAAGGCCACTCCACCGCAGAGTTGGTTCGGAGGAGCGAAAATTACAGGCGAGGCGAGCAGAAGTGAGGAAGAAGGGATTAAGGAAGACGTCGAGCCGCCGTTTGTTTGGGTTGAATTGAATTGAAGGAGGATAGAATAGAGGGCGGTTTTGCAAGCCGGTCGAACCGGAATCACTTTCGGTTTTAGCATATCGCAAACCGGGAACCGGTTTTACCGGTTAATTTTCGATTCAAATAGACGCTTAGTCAAGAAGCATATCCCAAAAAAAAATTGAGGTGTGTGTTCTTTTTTGGCCAACTTTTCCCAATTTCTATTATTAATCAAATATCTATTTTGTACTATAAGAAAAATGAATATGTAAAATATTTTATAAAAATTAAGAAAAATAATATTTTATTGAAAAAATATAGGTAGTTGAAAGTATTTTTGAAAATTTAGTTAAAAAGTAAAGTAAATGAAGAAAAAAAAAATGTAATAAAGTTAGTGGGATTTGTCGTAAATAAGTATTGAATGAATGATAATAATTAAATATTGATTTGTTAACTTTTGTCAAAATTAATAATGAGATAAATTAGTGGACAAACTAAAAAGAAAAATGATAATAACGCACTTTCACTCATTTGACACTATTTATTTTTTTAAAAAATATCACATTAACTATATTTTTTATTTCACGAAATATCAAATCAAATACTCCTTATAAAAGTGATGATATTTGTGTAATATATTGTAAATTGTAAGAGTATTTATTATGTTAGGTAGGTAGTACCGTTATTAAATTAGAAAATTGTATCCTTGTTCAAAAACGGACAAAAAAAATTGGTATTCTTCTTATGGAATAAAGAGAGTACTATTTTTTATTTTTCACTAATTTTTAAATTTTCAAAAATCTCTATCTAAACAATGTCGAATATAGTGACATGGAATAGCGTGATTTTTTATTTAAGAAGGCAAAAAAAAAAAAATACTCCCTCCGTTCCACATAACGTGTCTGTTACACTGTAGACACGGTATTTTAGGAGGCTTGTAATTAGTAGATAATTAAGAATGTATTAGTGAAAATAATTATTCTATAATATAAATAATTATAAATTAAGATTAAAATAACAAATTAGTTTAATTAAAATTAAAAAATAAAATTAAAAATTTTAAAATGAAATTAAAATGTGTAATCATTTTTAAAAAAAAAGAAAAGTGATATGAAATATGAGACGGACAGAACGGCAACGTGAACATGATACGTGGGATGGAGAGAATAGTAAATAAGTAAGCATAAAAATTTGGAATGGAGTATTATTTCTAAAATATGATAATCAATTTATCATGATAGGCAATAGAGCAACAAATAAGGCAAAGCAACGCAATTAATGATCTGGAGTTGTAGTCCCGGCCTCCAATCCCCACGAGCAGCAGCATTGAACTCCACCACTGTCCCTGTCACCGCGGTTGTGCTCTCCGAATTAGGGTATGCTGTAATTAATTAATTAATTTCAAGAAATGTCAGTACGCAAACCCTAACTGTATTATCAGTCAGAATATACATGCATACATACCATTAATGGAGATAGGGCTGCCACTGCTGTTACTGTAAGTATTATTATTACTATTATTATTAGCAGATTCGTAAATCTGGGCTTCTGCTGAACCAGGAGCCAAGTGGAGAAGACCTGCACCATTTATACTATCTCATCATATAATTAATTAATTAATACTCTGAAATAATAATATAATTATTATTGTTGTAGGTACTGGGGCACTGGGAAATATTGGCGGGAGAATTGCAGAGAGTGGGAAGGGCGAAAGCTCGAGTGACGTTAATGGCGACGGCGAGGTCAGGGTCGATGATGAGGCTGCAGAGGCACTTCTGGCTGGTCTTCAGCACCTGTTTCAGACCGCTGCAGCATTCGGGCGTGGGGGATTCAGCAGTCTCAGAAGCTCCACCTGCGTAAGGCAAGCATGGCGACAGTTCCAGCAATGGCTGTTGGCACTCTGAGGAGGAGGAGGACATGGCTGCTGCTGCTACAGTTAGTAGGGTTAGAGAGAACAGCAAGAACAGGGAAGAAGAAGAAGAAGAAGACATAGACAACCTCATTTTGGGTGGGTGGGTGGGTTTGATTTAAATATCGATTTGAAGAAGAAGAAGACGACATAGAAAACCCCGCCCCCACCTTTCTTTTTTTTTTTTTTATGACATGGAAACGCGCAGCCGTTATTCGAAATTACATACTGAGTAAACCCCAATCGAACCTAATACCTGGAAACTTGGTCCAACATACTAGAAAACCCCATTTTGATTGGGTCGGTGTTTAGTTTGAATATCAATCCATATAATAATTTAAAAGGTTGCAAAAGGATGGATATATGGACATAAAGAAAAGATAATACTCCCTTCGTCTTATATCTATCTATCAATTTATTTTTGCACGGAAATTTAAAACATATTAGTATTACTTTTGTCCGGTCTAAGGATTTCATTTACTTTTTGCGTGTAGATTTTTGAAAATTAATTATTATATCAAAATATAATACAAATTAGAAAAAAATTGCAAAAGTACTTTTATTAGTATCTTATAATACTAATACAATGACATTTGTACAAAAAAATATACAAATATAAGGATATTTTTAATGTTAAGTACAATAACGCAAAAGATAAATGTGATCTTTTATTATATTGGAATGTAGTAGAAATAAAGGTAAAAAGACTAAACTACTTTTTATTAGTATGATATGATATAAATATAATTATATTTGTGTAATATATTATAAATTTGAAGGGTATTTGTAATGTTAGACAGACAATACAATTACTAAAAAAAATTTATACTTTGTTATGAGACGGATAAAAAAAAATAGATACATTGTTAAGGGACGGAAGAAGTAGTATTCTCTTTGTCCCGACTATCTATCGTATCCGAGTTACTATAGATATGAAAATTTAGAATAAATATAATTAGTAAATAATTAATAATATATTAGTAAAAATAATTATTTTATAATATAAATAATTCTAAATGACTATTATTAATTAGTCTAATTAAAATTTTAAAAATTGCAAATTAAAAAATTTAAAATTAAATTAAATTTTGTAATTTCTTTTTTTTTTTTTTAAATGACATGAGATGTGCAGCAATGTGCACACATATGTGAGACAAAAGAAATACTATCGATCCTTATTATTATTATTAGACAAAATTGTACAAAACTCATACGTTGATTTAATGAAACTAAGCCAATTTATTTTATATTTTCAAAATTGCGTTGAACTCCTTTACAATTTTATAAATTTGGCGTCTCTTCTACCGTCTTCATTTAATGATATTAATCTATATGTGCGGTTCAATTGGCGAACGAGTTTGAGAATTTCTATTTTTATATATTTATTTATTTTCTTTTTAATATTAAGAAATAGTAAAAAAAATAATAACTATTTTTAAGTAAAAAATTATTATGATTATTATTATTATTATTGACCGTTGAGGTGAATTCTTTTCAATTTCACTGCTTTATTCCTTGGTTTATGGCCAATCAAGGACCTTTTTAATTTGGTTGATATATACACACGACATCAAAGTCAAACCTAAGGAGACAACATAGAAACAAGAGAAAGACACACCGACCCGACAATCAAGTGAAAATTTGGAGCATTGTGATATAAATAGGTATTGATGTGATATTTTGAATATAAATTTAATTCTAATATGATATAAAAAATAAAAAAATAGATATTTGATATGATATTTTTTTTAAAAAAACGAAATTAATGAATAATAAAAATTCAGAGAAATTTAAAAAAAAAAAAAAAACGTTCATATATATTACTTTCAATATATACCGTGCTATGCTACAAGTTTAATTCATTTTTCTTTAATTGAATACGTAAAATTATTTGATTTGTTGAATGGATTTGCGATTATAAAGTTATTAATTCGAAGCTTTTCGATACCTTCTTAAAGAATAGTCGTTACCAATTATCATATATATATATATAAAATAAAATAAATAACAAAGAAACACTCATTATAAAAGATATTTTGCGGGTCTAACCACAATACTAATAATTTTGTGAAAAATATAAGTTAAAAATAAAATAAATTAAATTGGTGAAAAATAACAACAACAAAAACCTAGCAGAAATTATCATACTCTGTTCATTTCAAGGTTAGGTTGGATCTTGTGAAAAATAAAAGTTCAAAAAAAATAAAATTAAATTGGTGAAAAATAACAACAAAAAAAGCCTAACAGTTGAATGTTGAATAACCGTTTCACCTAAAAGCTCGAACTGTTAAGAAAACACAATCATTAATTATATATTCACAAACGAAAGTACTCAGCAGATCTAAAGTTTTAGTATATTATTATAGTAGCCAAAAAAATTTGTGACGCTTTTCAAGAAAAAGGAATGAATAAGGTATAAGTTGGATCACGACGGTGAGCTCAATAGATAAATTCATAAAAAAAAATCCTATCGATGCATAATATATTATGTGTTATTTTATATTTATTATTACCATAATTAAAAATATCTATAAAAATAATTATGGATGTTATCATAATTACGGTTACTTTCATATTCTGGATTTTTAACTATATTGTATTTCTTTATTACGATTATTTTCTTTTCTCGAAATCATAACTAAAGACGCTTCTACAATCGATTGAGTAGAAAAAACTATGAATAGGCCTAATCAATAAATCTTTGAAAGAGTTTTTTTTTTTTTTTCCCTCTAAAATTGACACTTTTTTTTTTTCGCCTTGTCTCAGTCGATTGTCTCAATCTTATCCTATTTTATGGGTCTTTCAATAATGGTGTTACTTCGAAAAAATATTTGTCATTTTACTTTTGGGAGTGATTCGAACACACTAGAGCATTATTAGTCGTATTTCGTTCTGATTTATTTAATCATATGTTATTAGTTTTGTAATTGATGAAATTTTATTTGAGATACTTTACAAAAATTGATCCATACCACTATTTGTTCTTCTCGCATTCCATTGTTGCACGCCATTCTTTCTAATAATGCTGATTAAAAAAAAATAAAAATAATCTCATTCTTGGAACTAAGCAAATGTTAAAAGGTATTTTTGACATGAAAGACATAAGCTTTGTTGACGCAATCTTTGAGATCAAAATCATTAAAAACTCCAAAAAAAAAAAAAAAATCACTCTAACATAATCCCGCTAAATAGAGAAAATATTAAAAAAAATTCTAACATTTATGATTGTCCTACTACCAAAACACCTTGTGAGCCCATGTAAAATTAAAAGAAAATGAATCAAAGTGTTTTTTTTTTTTTATATGTAAATATTCTTCGATTCAATATTTTATAAGAATATATATATATGTATATATTGAATAATACAAAATTCAAATAGAAAAAGGTGGAAAAGAGAATTACCAAAAAAATACACTTTTCACGGTAAATAATGTAACGTCTAAATTCTAAACTTGCATGTGATTCATGTAAATATACAACTTTTAATACTCCATCTCTCTCGATTCAAAGTACCATTTTTATCATTTTCGTCTGTCTTATTTCAAAGTATTTCTATCTAATTTTTTTAAAAAATAATAATATACTAATATCAAAACACCCTTTAACTTCTACTTAAATTACAAGCATATCATTACACATACAATTATTTTATACATAAAGTCAAATAGTAAAAATGTCAAAAAAAACTCTTACACACTTCTATTAACTGATAAAATATTATTATTTTTTAATCTATTATAAAACTCCAAATGTCTCTTTAATTAGGGACAGATGAACTATTTTTTAGGAAGCGAGCCTCTGAGTTAACTCGAAAATACAATTGGATTTTCGAAACATTGAACAATCTTGTCTAATTTTTTATTATTATTAAATAGTAAAAAATGATGTAATAGTTTTACGAGAAAAGTAAGTGTATGACATGATTTTTTTTTTCAAAATAAAATAAAATTATTACTTATAGATAGTATTAAAAATAATTTTTAAAAGTATGCAAATAAATAGTGTAACTTTAGAAACTTTACATCCGATTAAAATAACAGTACAGAAATAATCTTAATTTATTTATTTATTAATGAGTATTTTGTATTATAAAAAATTAAAAAGAAATAAGTCCGGTAAGGGAAGATCTGGTGGTGTAAGTGTTGGATTTGTTACTGTATGTGACTTTTCCGTCGGGTCTAGTTTGCAGGGTATTAGGTTCGGCCGGGAGTTTACCCAGTGCCCACTTTCGAATAGCGGCTGCGAATTCCCACGTCATTAAAAAAAAAAAAAAAAAAAAAACCAACTTTTGAAGATAAAAAGCATAAAACCAAATAGGTTGGCTGCAGCATGGAACCAAATATGTGTTTGCACTTTCGGCCCTTAAGACATCCTTTTTGTGGCTCTGTATTATTATTACTTTCGTTTTTGGACCACCTTCCCACTTACCTTAATGCATAAGCTTCTCTAAATATATTATTATTATTATTATTATTATTATTATTATTATTATTATTAATCGTATATATATAGCAATAAAAAAAAGTACATACTCTCACACATATATATATAATTAATTTACATTTTTTTGGTTATAATATATAGTATTAGTGTGTGCATTATATATATATATATATATATATATATATATGCAAAAGAATAGATAAAAGTTATCAATTAGTTGAATCAGTTTACATGCAACTGCTAGTCTGGATTGCAGATCACCAATTTATATAATACAAGTAGATAATATATTATATAGTATTATAATATATTTATAATATGTGTATGAACCAACATATAACTATCTTAGAGAGATGATCAATATATATTTGTACATATTTCAGTATATTTATAATACTATGTATCTTATAATTTACATATTTCTCTCGTCTCAAACACCGTGCAACACTTGTATTTTGTACGGGAATTTAGGTGGGGAGTATTAACTATGATAATTTGAGATAATTTGAATATTAAGTGACGTGATTGGAGAGATAAATAATTATTTGTTTTTTATTTGAGTGATGTGATGGGATAAGGTGAAGGGTATATTAATATATGTATATAAATATTATTAATTATTTCTAAATTTGAAAATATTGCAATGAGT